GTATTTTGTTGATTTAAAAACAGCTTCATAAAGTAAAAATAAGGAATGGATCTGGCCAAAAAAAGAGTCATACATATACGCATATTTGAGGCCTTGTACTCGCGTAATTCAGTGCACGTCATTAACTGTCGGTGAAAATGACTTCACCATTATCATCTGCGGCCAAAGTTGGTGACAAACGTGACACGTACTACATAAGTAATATGTATTATATACAGATACATATCTAAATCCATTCATATGTCCATAAATATATCAAACTAAAAGTACAAAGGAGTGACGGGGTATATTAGAATTGTGATACAGGCAGGCGAAAGTATGTGCCGATTATACTTATGTAATGTGAGGCTTTTTTAATCGTAATATTCTGGTTTAAAATTATTTATCTTGTGATCGGTTAAATAATAGCAGATCTCGAATTTATAGGTTAAAGAAATATTGGAACTCAGGGGTCTTTGTGCCAAGACTCAGGAAAAAATAAATTCCCGTCATCTGGTATAATCAATACTGTGCAACAATTTAATTTTAATATATAACCTTACAATATTTTTTTTTTTTTGAATACATTGGACTGTAGACTGCGCTAAAAAGTACACCTTAGACCTGAACATGGCCATTTCCCACAATAACCGCAATGTAAAAACAATTGTCAGCCTCTTAATCGTTGGTCAGATTACAAAACACATACATCTATATAATTATCAATCGTTTAAATAAAGCTGATTTAGAATATAAAATGGTGAGTGTATGACAAACCCTTGTGGCATCTATTTTGCCCACGATCCATTCCACCGTGGTGATAGCCACTTCCGCCTGTTCGGCCATCTGTCAGTCTGTCCCTAAGCAGTCTGACAGGTAGAGAGTTGGGATTAAGTTTGTGGATTCTAGCTGGGACAACCTGTTTTGGACGTAATATTATAATAACAATAATGTTATAAGCGGAGTCCCATCATAATTATTAATTATTATTTTTACTTAGCTTATTGCAGGCCATAGGAAATGTAATTCATATTGTGTTGCGCCTTACAATTTCGCCACTGAGCCATACAAAGTCTTCGCCTGATAAGTTTAGTCAGGGCGAACATTTTGTCGCTTTTATCTGGATAGTGATCAGGTATGACTGTGTTTATGGATTTAACAACTGATGAGGCCAATAAAATAGCACACAGCAAATGTGTCACAGTATTGGCACTGGACTTTAGCACTATATCTTTCTTTTTGGTTACGCTGATCAAGATTAGAAAATCTATATTTTGCAATAATTATACCACTTGCTGGTAGAGTAATATGTACATTCTAGAATAAGAGAGCAGCTTAAGGTTGGTTTAGCAGCTTGCTACGCTTATTCTCGAGCCCACGAAACGATGAAAGTATTGGCGTCCCTTATAATAGTGTTCAAATTTTTTGTTGACTTTAAATATTCTCTTCGATTTTGATTAACTAGCATTGTTTTATGTCTGATGTTTCGGTAAAGTTTATTATGCCTCTCATGGACCTTGACGTCACAGTCAGTTGTTGCATGGGTCGAGCCACAGATGGCGCTAGTAAAGTTGTAAACGGCGTCGTTTTCTGTTAGCAAAAGGTTATGGGTTACAGAGTAGCGGGTATATGATACTAGCTACTTTTATTACTTACGTTAACACTTACGAAAACTATAATCTTTGTAGTTTCATTTTGCAAAATAAAGTGAATCAAGGATTTTTGAAGGTAAAACACAATAAAAGTTATCGCTGAGATTTTCTTATATAATTTAAAATTCATTACTAACTTGGTTTTGGTCAATTTCAGAAGGGTTTATTCTTAGGTTTGTTACAACGGAAGAAACCTTAATGCACGATTTGATACTACCCTAGATTGGTGTCCTGTAAGAAAATATTAAAGTTTATAGCTCTCATTATCTGAGCCTGCAAGGCTATTAAATGGGATTGAAAATATGGATAAAGGTTTTATCTGTTCCTAACTCCCAATTTATTCCTTTAGTTTCTTAAAACTGAATGGAGGTTAGGAAATTGGGATCTCAAAGCTCTGTGCTCGCGAAGTGATGGTTTATTATAATGGTTTCAATATTAAAACTATAAACCTAACCTAATAGCATTTCGGGTTATTAAAGAGACTCAGAGGTGTGCTCAATTCTTTTAAGCTCACTTTACTCACGTCTCTTTCCGCTTGGACTTAGAATTCATCACACCCAGCTGTGTCGGACGGTCAGTCATTATGACTTTACAAGGAGCATTCAAAGAGCAAGAGCATTCCAGGTAAATCATCTCATTAAATAACGAACATGAATCAGAGATTAGTGTGGAAACTTAAAGGAAAATAACAAGAAGAAACGCTTACCCGGAACCAGAGATAAAGTCCACTGACTGGGGCTCAGGGCTTCTAAAACGGAAAAGGGCTGATAGGCACTTTAGCAGTGACATGTATAATGAATATATTTCAATCTGTGAAATATATTTGAGTTTCAATGGTTTTTAGGTTAACATAGGCGGAACTAGAACAGAAAGATTCAGTGGACTTCGATTGGTCTCTGTTGTTTTATTTCGGAATGTATTTTCATTTTATTCTGAGTATTTCAATGAATAGAACTCTTTCAATCCATTAAAATCAATATATTATTTCTGAAATGTTTACATATCATACATATATACCCCATTAACTCGTACGTACATATGTATTTATCCATATCTACGTCGCGAACAAGAACTTTAAAAGATTAAAATATGAAATTACTCATTCTTGTTATAAAAATAAATATTCTGCGAATCAAGAAAATATTAATCTTTGTAATAACTACCAATAGGATTCGTACATATTTCAGTTATTGTAATAATCAGTAGAAATTGGTGTACGATTAAGAAAACGTTGATCAACTTCACTCCCTTGCATGCCAGTTTTCCTGGATGTCGAAATACCTGCTGGACTCCAGGCGTTGTTAGTTTACAAGAATTAACATTGTAGAGTCACAATAAAAGCAAAAATCTAAAAATTGTGAGTGCAGTTAAATTTCTAGTAATGATAATTCTAATTCTAATTCTTAGTTTTGACAACAATTCCATTCCAATACATTCATCTTAAATCAAAACGCTTTGGGAAAAACCCTTGAGATGGCGTATAAGTAGAGACCATGATGTCATGAATTATTTAGTCTCCCATTGATTTTTAATTTAGGCTGTCAGAAATACCTGTCGGTTCCTTTCGCAGCCGCGGGGATGTTCGCCATAATTTTCGTTGTTCTAGTTTATGGCATAAACATTCCGTTTTTTCCTAAATCTAATGGTGCCACGTCATAAATTTGTTTAGCGCCAACTGTGGTTGTGGTCTCTTCCGATCCGATATAAGGTAAGTATGGCGTGGGCACTAAACATTCAATTGATTTGCTGGCATATTCTAGCAAACAGTGGAAACCCATATTATCACAGATGTTGTTATGAAAGTACTGCTCGAAAGTGGCTAGGAGTTGGATTATTTCCATTAAAAGTCGCCTCATATTCCACACGGGGACTCTAGGCTTTCGTTTGAATATAATAGAAACGACACTCAGTCTTCCCGACTCTTGTCTGGAATAAGCGTGCCAAATTTTCGTGTGGTTTCAATGAGGTCATCAACGATTCAATTGTCATACGTAGAAGTTTTGATTGCTTTTCTTAAAGCTCATGAAAGTGGAGCTGAATCTCGAAAGTAAAAGACTTTCGTTTTAAGTGGATTTTTGTCACTTCACTGGCTCTCGTTGTTGACATCGACAATAACATTTAGTGACTAAGCTCAGGAAGATTCGTCAAATTTCATTGAAGATTTCATTAATTGACAGTTTCGTTGCAAACATATCTTGAATTTTTTTTAAATTTATTTCTCTTCTTTATTATTTTAAACGGTATATAACGTTTCAAACCATCATGTCTTTAACTTCATGCGCAGACCTCATCATGAAAAGCTATTCAATACGTTAAAATGTGTTTTGAAATGCGTGCTATCAAAATGTCAGAACTGTCCAGGGCTGATAAGGAAAAGATATACTAACATTAATTTTGATTCCGCCCATAACAGGAAATGGGCGCCCAATGCCTTGATAAAATTTGTCCCTGTATTGCGTATTTTAATGTTTCTAAAACTATGTTCGGGAAAGAGTGCAATCCGATAGTAATCGTATAATCCCTGTTTAGATTACACGATTACTATCTGATTGCACTATGAGTACTCCCGATCTCGAAACTCTCAAATAGATTTATCGACAAATTTTTAATCAAAACTACCATTGTCTTCTTATTATCACTGTTTTGACGCGGCCTCCGATATCGCGTCGACCCAAACCCAATAATTTAACTGTTTAAGTCGTGCCAGCTGCTTGTGGTGATATAGCTATTGTTACATACAAAATTACGAGAACGACGTACATATATTAGGGATTCAGAACATGCCCACATTTTGAGGCAGCCAATCGAGAAACTTGTTGAAATAGGAACTTATATTTGTGCATTTAGCATGGGCTGCATATTTTCCCACTTCTCGCATACATACACTTGCCAATTTCTTGCTTTCTCGGTTTGCTCTCGGTGCGTCATTGTTAATAAATAGACACTGATGCCTGCGTTTTCGTGAATGATGCAAGGTAAAGGTCAATTAATATAAAAATAGTATCTATGCTTTAATCACTTCTGTATTTTCTTCCCAGTTTGGTTGTTTTCCTCAAAGCGCGATATAAACTTGATCTCTTTGAGGGCTGCCTTTACAACGAGACTGCCTTTATTTGCTCATCAGCGCTTGATATACCCTCTTTTAGGATATAAAAATCAAAGGAATTATACATCGATTTAGCTTTCTTTATGTTTCAATGGTTTGACGATAATGTTTCGTCTAGTCAGCTTTTACTTATAAAATGAATATAGATATATGTGAGATGTCTGAGATCGATTTTACATTTCTAGCTCACACATTCTACCAATTAATTTCCACGTCAAACAGTTTTGTGACCCCTGCTCGTCTCCTGTTTGTTCTAATTGCAGCTGGGTGTGTGGAATACCACCGGACTTTAACCACTATCGACTGCACCGCGGAAAAGTGTCCACGATGAAAACGCCAGAGTAACCAGCCCAAGTGATATTACCGATAAACTAAATAGCAATAAAGCGTCCAGAACCTAAAAATTGATTACCTGGTCAAATTTAAGCGGTGGTGCAACCGCTGCGAACTTTCTATCCACTTTGCGGTAGTACGACGAGAGATCCCAGATTGTTGGCCAGAAATTAATGACACTTCTCGGGCCTAGCGCCCCTGGCATGGCCTTTATGATGAAAAAGAAGAAGTACAAGTTCAACGTTGAAGTGCAGTTGCAGGATTTAGTCGAAGTGGCCCTGGTCAATGAGGTGTTGTTCGCCAAGATACGGCTGCTTGATGGAGGTTCTTTTCAGGAGTACAGCAGTCGGTAAGATCACATAAAATTTCCAAAATTATTGCAAAATAATGAAAACGTTTCACACTAGCGAGGAAGTACGCAATCATCGAGTGGAATGGAACCGCAGCTTTGAGTTTCCCTGCAAGATGAGCGCGAATGCCTCGACTGGCGTTCTAGATCCCTGCCACCTGCGTATTTCGATACGGAAGGAAATGAAGGGGGGTCGAAGTTACTACAAGCTCGGTTTCATCGATCTCAATCTTGCCGAATTCGCCGGCGCAGGCCTGACCTCCCGTCGATTCCTTCTTGAGGGCTATGACTCGAGGCATCGCCTGGACAACTCTATGCTTCGAGTTAGCATTAAGATGCATATGCTGAGTGGTGACATTCTGTTCAAGGCGTAAGTAATTTAATCAGGATCCTAACATCATTAAGCATTAAATTGGCCTTACAGACCAACGCCAAACCTGAAGAGCAAACAGAGTAAGCCTTCGATGGATGATCTGACTAACGCGGCTACCGGTGTAGGCTTGCAAACTCCGACGGCAACAGCTCTGCCCAGCATAGGGAGCGGAAGCGGTGGATCGGCCATACCTTTAGGAGGTAGCGGGGCCACTTTGGGCGGCGTTCCCAGCAATCAGTCGCTGCCCGGAACCCGGCCAGTTTCTACAACTAAGGAGGAGGGTAGGTCGAAAATGATAATAAAGATAATCTAGCAGCATTTCGATTTCGATGCAAATTGTAACCATCACTTGAATTTCAGTAATACTTGCAGATATCGATAGCCAGGCTTTGATAGCGGCCATTGTTACGGACTCCGGCTTGTCCGAGTCATCGGAATCGGGGTTAACATTGACCACGGATAATCTTCAGCAACATGCCGCAGCCGCCGCGGCTAATGCTATTACTCCAGTGACCCAACCGGCCCCCGTACTGGGAATCATCGGTAGCAACAACTACGGAACCACAGGAGCGGGAGTTGGATTTTCTGCAGGCGGCAATGCAAACCTCATGGAAATGGGTCATTCGAGAAATTCCAGTAATACTAGTCAAGTAAGTCCAGCGCTGATTCCCAAGGAAGTGACATGTTCATAATGATTTTTCCCACTGGTAAATCAGATGTCAAAAGGTTCGGGTTATAGCAGTTTTTCGCACAGTCAGCACTCAAGGCAAAGTTCCGAGGGTGATTCGGGCCATGCTAGGTAAGTCGCCATCACAGATTGAAACAACACTCATATTCTGTAAAAAGTTTTAACTTATTTTCTTGTAATATTGATTTTGATATACTTTGCCCAAGATTCGTGTAAAAGATACCAACATACATAAATAACATCTGCTATTCTATAATGCTGAAGTATTTACATGCGTTATATATGCTAAACTTTCCTTACCAACCCAAATAATTGTGTCTAAAACTCCTTTCTAACTCGAATGTTCTAAATTAAACCAATTTCTATTATGCGCGACAAGTCCTCCTAACATGAATAACGAAATCCTTGCTTATCCTCAACAAAACTTATTAAATATTTTTTCTAAGTCTTTACACCAAAAATTCGATATACACAAGATAAACTTAAGTCAGACCTGAAAAAGTTACTGTTTATGATATTTCGTCACTTATTTACTTTTAATTTATTTATGTTATATTCTTAGTTTTTATAAAAGCAATATTATTTAAAAGAGTTTTGGATAAATAATTCTTATATAGTCAATTTCTAAAGTCCATAAGGAACACACTTTCCCTATAAAAAGGTGCAATGGTGGAATTGCTTAAAAATAAGTGCTGTGCGGAAATAAATTGAGAAGAGAGTATGGTAGGAAAACCGATGGACAGCAATTTCACCACCCAAATTAGTTTTTAATAATAATGAGACTTTGGGCGGAAACTCCGGTAACATTGTGAGGCTTACAGTCAAAGAGGGTCAAGTGACCCAGTAGCAGCTCCTCCACATTTTGCCAGTGATATGAAAGGGTATATTTCATAGGCGACTGTGAGACTCAGCAAAAAATAGAAAAATCTGATGCTTTCATTCATAAACTGGCGGTACAAGGGACGGGCAAATTAATATTTTTTATTTTGTAAGGTCTATATTTTCATTGACTTTTGGCCTTTTTATGGTGCGCCAAAGCTTTGCATGAACGGCGCTTCTAAAAGTGTATGTCAATGTAGTCACCATTAAATTGCCAAACAAGGTTAAAATATAACATTTTAGCTTGCCCATTTGGAGAATCCTAATTGTGACGATGTAGATAAAGATTGCACTGAGATTAAGGTGGTGTATAGACTGTAAGACTAGACTAGTTGGGTATAAGAACTGGGTAGAATATAAATCTGGTTGAGGTCAAATAATCTTAATACCATAATAAAAGCTAACATTTTTCTGTTGTAATTGGTTTCTAATTTAGTCTAATATTTCATGTTAGACTAATTATTATGCACACAGTAACACAAATTATTGCTAAATTTTGAGAAATTAATTTTATTTTTCTTTCTTTTTTAAACTAATATTATATTTTGTATATAACAAAATGGGGTATACGGCCAACTAACCAACTGCCAAAAATTCTACAATAACACCATTTAAATTGAATTTACAATTTCGATAAACGACTGCCTGCGTCCCAAATGTATGCCAACAAAACTACAGTCGCTTTAGAAAATCCGTTTCTCTACTTAATAGACTCAATCAGAGAGCAATTAACGCCATGAAATTGAATATACCACACGGTCGACATCACGGGCAAAAGGGTCAAGATCAACAGCTACCTCACAGTGTGCCAGGGGTTCCCAAACACCACCATATTCACACCAAACTTAGTCTCAGCACCACTGTTGAATTTGTGAGCGAGGAACAGCTCTACCAGACTCCAAACGCCACCATGACCACCTCAGACACGTTGGCCTTCGAGGACTTCCGCACCCCAATGGCAGAACTTGCTGCTTCCTCTGTTTCAGCCACAGGTAGCAACAGGAGTTGCTACTCCTAGTTCCACGTACCGCAGTGCAGGATCTCCGTCTCATGCCACGCAATATTACGACAGTGGCGAAGCGAGCGACACAGATGAGTATCTGAACGAAGACTCGGGCGACAATGACTCTGGCCTGGAGGAAAACTTCCATACGCCCCGAGTGGCCAAGATCAAGTCGATGGAGAATCTCTCCATTCTGGAAATGGAATTTCATAAGGCCTCTATGGAGCTGGACCGCAACTCACCGCGCCGCCTAAAACAACTGGCTGAGCATGCACAGATACCCAAGATGAAGTCGCTGAGCAATCTTTGTTTCGACGAGTATGCGGAGAAATCTGTTCGCGAAGAGTTTCAGCGCATGCACGAACAGTCGCTGGAGGAGCGGATGCGCTTCCAGCAGCACCACCAGTTACGAAAGAACTCGACAGCTTCGAACGGGTCAGCAGCGAAGCTGTACGTTAAGCATCTGAGCCACCAGACCCATCATCACATCAAAGTCGGCAACGCCAAGTTTATTGGACAGGACGGTGCCGAGAGTCCGCAGTCGCTCCACTACCCCATTCAGAAGATGCGATCAATGGGCACAATACCAGACATTGTGAGCGAACGCATCGAGCCGGACCCGTTCCTTACTCCAACTACCGAGCGAAAACCGAATTTCCCGCGTCTCGTCCAATCTGCGGAGAAGCCATTGCTGGGCAGCAGCTACGTCAATCGCCTGCTTACTTACGACGTGGTGGACTCGCCGGCGGAACCTTTTGCCAGCTCGGTGTCTTTCATGTCGCGTACACCCTTTCAGCGACCTTATCGACGCAATATGCAGCCCGGTACCTCTTCGACGCCCCTTACTTCACAGGACTCTTTCGCCGTGCGGCCGCATTCCACGAATGCTGCCTACGAGCTAATGAGGTGCGTCGCGTTATGATTACAAACAAGACAAGCAAGAAATTGCCCAAAGATTAAATAATTCAATATTTAAAACTAGAAAGCGGAGGGTTAATCGTTACTAGTTGAAAGTTTCCTGTTTCTGTTATACTGTGATCCTCAGTGTTTAGCTTAATACGCCGCTTTCGCGACCTAGTCCTAGAACTAGCATTGGTCCTTGGTATTGGTCCATTACCCCACACTTCCGTTATCATTTCCATTTAACATTTCCTCCGGTTTTTCGTTAAGCGTTTGACATTTGTTTTGTTGTTGTTTAAGTTCGTACTAATCATTTGTGGTTTTCATTGAGTGCCTTTGGTTTCAGTATTTTTAAAAGGTAGATGTAAGAAGCTTAACGTTATATCCTGATCGCAACAAAGGTTTACTGTATACAGATTTTGCGATTGTCCTTTTTAGTTACCTCGCACACTATTAACGACTCAACCATACCTTATACTGCAGGGGGTTCGGCATACAGCTTATTGAAACTTGCTTAACTTTCCAATATCATATTATGTCGGTATTAAAGTGTACATTTTAAACTTAGTAATGGGCAGAAGGGAGTACGAAAAGACGAAAGCTATTAGAGAATTTAGGGTCATTCTTGGGAAGGAGATATCGCTTCACTTAAAATATCTTGTTTGTGTATTGAGCTTTGGCCTTTGATGTCCAACTGAAGGAAAACGTGTAATGCGTACAAAAGCATTCTTCATGGTAACTCGACTTTGACCAACTTAAAAATAGAAAGAAAATGATTGTGATGAATGCATTTATATTTCGCAAACACTTTGACGACTTTTAGGAGTGTTACAGTCCGATATTTTGAATTAGAAACGAAATATAATATATGTTTTTGGTCTTGAGAACCAATAGTAGAAGTCGATTAATAACAGGTATGTCTTAGTCGGAGCAATCGACTGTAGCGTTCTCCCTTGATTAGGGTTGACACAGCCGGGAATCATACAAACATAAAACCCCACAAAACCTTTTATACACATTGATTTCCAAATAGCAAACCTTCCAATCACATATAAAACGCATAGACTGAAATCATTCGCTTCTTCTGAAAAGTAAAGAATACTACAGATGTTGACTTTTCATTTACTTTTATTTTACAAATACGTGGTTTTGTTTTTTCGAATTTAAAAAATTTTATTTCTTATAAGTGTTGATATAATATGGTTGTGATGTTTTGTGTCTAAAACATATATTCGCATTCAACACGGCGTTCATTCAGAAGCTTCAGTGGAGTTCCTAGACGTCTCTTTGATGGAAATGGCAGCACCATAGGGCAGAACAGCGGCAACATAGGTGCAGCCAGCAGCAGCACCAGCAGGCAGCAGCAAGCGGGTGCCGCAGCTTCTAGTTGTTTCGTTGTTGGATCCAATTCTTCGCCTTGCGGAACTCTGGCCAGTATACACTCAAACCACTCGGCCTCCTCCTCGAACGGCAGCAACAGCAGCAGCAGCGGAGCAGTCATTACTTTCCACTGCAACGCAGGAAGTGGCCAGGATACAGTAGACACACCCACCCAGCTATTGCAACACCAGCAGATGACAGTGGGATCGCCAAATGGCCATGGCAGCAGTCCCCGGTTAGGCAATGTCATGTCCGGGGATGGTCTTAGCTCAATGGCCGCCAGTCCCACGGACGCTTGTAGCATTCGCTCCAATCCATCGGCCGCCTCGCTGCTTCTCTCCACGTCCGCAGCGGCCGCAGAGGCCTCCGCCATGGCCTCGGCCACTACCATGTCCGTTTCCGGAGCAACACTTTCGCCGCTGGCCACTACCCAAATCATTCGCCGCCCTAGCATCACAATGATGTGGGTTGACTTTAAGTTCCATCATTGTTTTCTAATTTGTACTTATTCACTTGCCTACTTTGACCTTTTAAGTTGTAATGATCAGAATTTACCAATGTTCAAATGCCCAGTACATCCCGCCTTTCTGCCGAATTCATATTTAATTTAAGTAATTTGATAAAATATTTCTGCAGAATGGAGGATAGACTGTTCCATTTACCACTACCAGCCCTAGCTAAAATCTTTATGTGTTTCTGTTGCATTACACATTTTATTTATAAAGAAACTTCTTCTGAAAAATAAATGGGAAACCCAAAATTATCACTTTTTTCTTAGAACAATTGAAATAATTTAATTGAAAAACTTGAATTTCTACTTTTTTTTTTGCAAGTGCACTGCATTTTGTTTTAGTTAAGAAATATTTTTGTCGATGCTTTATAAAATGGAAAACCCTTTTTCATTTTGCACACACCATATGTCAGCAACTCATTTCATTAGTTTAAAGCACAGTGTTTGGTTGGCATGGTATGCGTCCAAACGTTGTAATGTTCTGCCTCGTTATTGCCTGCTGTTGTCTTGTTTATCTCGCAATTGCTGAACGCACCAAAAGATGTATTCATATAGCATTTATATATGACTCCTATTTAAATAAGAACACGTGTTTAAAGCCTGTTAACAACCAAGTTCATTTTACTCATCTTGTTCCTTCAGGAATCCCAGTTCCGGTTCGTTAGTTATAAGTGAAACAGGATCTCTAGATCGGACGAAAAGCAGCGGTGAGAAGCGCAAAAAGGGCGCCCTTGATGACGGCCCACGCGTTTCTGACAGAGTGGAGGAGACACGGGTCAATCCAGACTCGTTGATTGATGAGATTTTGAAGGGCACTAAGCTGGATCAGCTTGAGGAATCAGCAGAAAGTGAGTAGCCTATGCCTACTTCTAATGTGAATCTAATAATTATATTCTCCCGTTCAGCCTCTGGCCTTCAGCTGTACATCGCTCGTGACGGAACTGCCTCCCTAGGCGGGCACGAAGTTAAGTCAAGCGTCCGGGCGGGTGCCCTAAAGCAAGTAGTCATGCAGGATAGGAGATAGTACTGTCCGGAGTTGAGCGCTGTTTTTTAAATGAACACGAAGACTTACTGATCGAGTAAAAAAACAGAGAGAGTATCGAACTAATCGAAATAGTTTAGGTAATGCAAACATGTTAACTTGCAAACTAAAGTGAGAATACAAAAACGCTATATACGAGTATATAAATGTATGTCAAGTCTAAACTACACTACTTTGAATGTACGTATAATGCTTATAAACATATATGTATGATATAGATATAGTAACAAACAACTGTCGGTCGATATTTCTGCCAACTCGTTCTCTATTAACACGTCTAGGTGTTTTGGCAAGAGTTGTGGGTTGTGTAAGCACCCGCTAAGGATTAGGAAAACCAAAAATAAACTTCGTAAAACTGCACTTTATATATGCATGGGTTATTCACAACAAAGTAAAATATAAGCGAAATGTAATTATGATTTTTAAAATTATGATTTTGATTTGCTTCCATTAATATGTCCAGCCTCAGGCATTAATATATATAATCGGAAAATAATCGAAACGAAATGCAAATTTTCTACATAACCGGAATTACAACGGGTTCCACTGCAAATACTGTAAAATGCCATTATAAAAGCTTCGAAACTATAATCCTAAATTCAAATAGTCATCGAAATACATCGCATCAATCAAAAACTATATAAGCAAATTGGTTTATTCTGCCAATTCAGCCCGTGACTTGCATTTTGCTTTTGAAAACATATACATTCTCGGATTTTGCATATATATCCTAAACATTCGATTCAATAACTTGTTACTTGATTTTCTGTTCCTTAAATCCATAATTAGCTTAAACATAAACCAAATTATCAATTAATGAGACAGATTTATTTTTTATCAAAGTTCGGTTAAAAACGAATGTTTGGATGGATGCAAATCCTGGGACTACATTACTATTCACAAAGAAATACTTTATTAACGCGTTACATAGTTGTACATTGCTAAATGGTATTCTTAGCTCGTAGTTATTATTTTAAAGTTTCGTAAACCGATACCGCAAATTGTGAAAATTCCATGAAATAAGCAAAAGTTTAAAATGAATTGACGTGTTAGAAAAGATACTTGAAAATAGTGATTAGCAATAGTTTATGCTAATTATATCTGTGTAAAGTTGCTCTAGTTTTTTTTCGATAATTTTTAGAGGAGAACTCGAACAGCTCCTTATTAGTTTTTTAAAAGATACAAGATGTCGAATATTTTCAGTTGGTTAAATGTTATTATTTAAAAAAAATAATTAAAAGCTTAAATGGAGTCAAATTTTTTTACTTCTGAACAATTGACACTATATCTTTATATTTTTATCTGACTAAAAATGCATAATGAGTAATTAAGTAATTGAAAAAAGTTTATGTTTAATGAATAACAACGGCAAAAACAATTGGCCAACTCAACTGAAAATTTTTGAGCTGAACTTAAAAGTTTTAACTGCAAAAAAAAAAAAAAAAAGATATGTAAAAAACCAATTACCAATAAACAACATTACTACAGTTTAAAATGGAAAACAAAATGTGATCAAAGCGGATTCCTAACAAAGCGAAGGTAGGTGCCATCACGGGCAGCAAGGACAAAGGCTTTTGGGTCGAACCTCATTTCCGGCGAAGTCCTCTCGCAGAGCTCCACTCGAAAGTTTTTTAGAATGTGCAACAGTCCAACTTTTATCTCCAACTGGCCTAACAGTGTTCCAATGCAGCCTCTGGGACCTGCTCCGAAGGGCAAATACGTCATGGGATGATGCTGTTGCCGTTGTTCAGATGAGAATCGTTCTGGATCGAAGATCTCAGGGTTTGGCCAGTACTGTGGATTTCGATGAAGTCCCAATACTGATATATAGACAGGTGTCCCTGCATGCAATTTAAATGGTAAACCATTGTTCCAGGCCGAAAGATCATAGCCTTCTCGAGAATTGCAGCAGCGATCCAAAAAAGCAGTCGGTGGATACAATCTTAGAACTTCGTCCACCACCTGCCGTAGGTATGCTAATGCATTGACTGTGTCGCAGCTTATCCGATGATCAGGGCTAGACTGTAGGGCCTTGCGTAGCTCCGTCCGCAATCGACTCTGTATTGAAGGATTTCTGGCCAGCTCGTACACGGCGAAAGTTATGGTCGATGACGAGGTATCAAAGCCAGCCAAAAGAAGAAAAGCAGCCTGGGCCACAAAAAAATCGGGCCTATGAATTATGCTTTCGGCAGACTCCGTTCGCTTTAACTGCAAAAATATGTCGATCAAATCGTTTCGCTTTTCTCCACTTTCCTCACGTTGGGCAAGTATGTAGTTCATGGTCCTGCGCATAAAGCTTTCATACTCTTTTGAGTAAAGATGAGTGCGAACTCTGCGCGATAATCGTGGGAAAAAGAACATTGTAAAGAGATGTAATAGTCGCTTTGGCCTGGGATCGTTGACCTCAATACACATGCGACGAAACTCGGCTTTGGGATTTTGCAGACTTTGCGCCTCTATACCAAAAGCCAACGAGGCAATTATGTCCCTAGTGAAAAGAGTACATAGTTGTTTAACCTCCAACTCCATTCGATCTCTTTCCTTTAGGTTATCGTTCATATGTTCCTCGAGCTTATGCCCAATGCTTTCCAGGAGTCCGTACATCTGACGCACCTTTCCTACGGCAAAGAACGGTGCAAAGATCTTATGCGTCTCTCGCCAAGTTTCATATTTGGAAAAGAATAGATTCTGAGACCCCATCGTATCGCATATGGAGTCTGTGGTCTCAAAGCGGTTTAAGAATTGGCCGAAATCTTCGACCATAATACGCTTGATCAAGGCCGGATCGCGCAGAAGTAGGGCATGGTTGTGCAGCACGTGAATTCCCACAAAGGCGCGGCCGTCCGCTTCCTTACTCTCATACAGCTCTCGAAATTGATCACCGAAGCAGCAGCCACCACGCAATAGGTTCCACACATTTCCCACAAATGGCGCTCCGGGAATAAAGGGGACGCCCAACCGTCTCCAGTGTGAGAAATGACGCCGCTGCCACAGCCAAACGGTAATGAAAACAATAACCACACCACTGATAACGACCACTGGGAGCAGAGCTAATAACCCAATAGCCAAAGCAGACGCTAAAAAATAAATTACTACGATACTCATGATTACGTGAAGAGTACCTAACCACAACTGCAGTCGGCTCTTTCAGAATTACTCTATGTATAGGCTAGCTTAAGTGATTGTGCATCGCTCTCTACGCGACATATACTATTGCATATTTAAATTAATGCAGTGAGCCGATTTCTGCTCTCCTATATAACACCCGACTAAATTTTCATTAACTGTTTCAAGAGCTCGTTCATTTTCAAAGCGAATTTGTAATATTGGGAAGTGCTGTAATAAAGTACTTAGAACTATAACTTATTTAATGCGTATCTTATCACGCCAAAGCTCAGTATCTTTGATAGATGTTCATATTATTAACGGTTTAATGGGTGCAATTATTTCAGCTTATCAATCCACTTTGTTTCTAATTACCTCAACTATACCAACCCTAGGCACTAAATGACTTCAATCGCTAGCTCGTTAGATACAACTCAACCCCAAACAAATCCAGATGAAAAATTTTAGACAAATGTATTACCCAAGACAAAAACTTATATCCCCAACACACTGATCTAATCTACAGAAGCCCACTGCTACGAATGCAGCTATTTAACTTGCAATGGCCGAGATCGACAGCCAAATTGCTAGTTAAAAAATCAAAACAATCAGATACCACTTACTGCGCTAGCCAATTTTGAAAATGTAAATTGTACTAGCAGAAAATGACGCCGTGTACAGCTTTACAAGTGCTACTTATTGCCAGAAGTCCTAGCCTAAGTCTTATTCTCGCTTCTACGTGGCTAAGTGAAGATTTGCATGTTGAATGTTTTATTTGCGGAATGAGTAATATTTTCAAGTGTCGAAATAACAAGCAGAATATTACCAAAACAAAAACACGCGAGAGCCGAAGCACATAAATAATTAAAATATAAATATAATTTTTGCTATTGCTGTTGCCCATCACATAATTTTTCGTTGTTCTGAGGTGGCTCTGCTTCGCCTCTCGTCAAAGTAATAGCAGTAGCAAACTACAGGACTTAAAAAATTGTCCGTACAACTATAAGAATTCAAACCAAAAGTAAAACTATGAACTATTATAGGTGCATACAAATAAGTAGGCATCCGATATACAAATCTAGTCTGGGCTGCCCTGTTGTTCTCCAAGGAACGCCTAACATGACCAATTAATTGAGATTTAGGTATATTAAGCTGAAATAAAAGTCGAACTTATTTTAAGTTAAGTTTGTTAAATATGATATAAAAATAAAGAATTTATTTAATAATGATAAACCATATTAATTCCTGGAAACAAGAATGCCTTAAAGTACCCAAAATACATTCGCAGCTTACGTCAAAAACTTGTAAAATCGTTAGTTTATTTTACTCTTAATTCAAAGATTTTAGGCACTAATTGCTGCTCTGCGTATCTATCTAATTCCGGCTGTCAATCTCTTGTATAAAATTTTTCGAAATTTGCAATTTGTACAATTAGTGCTGCACAATTTGTTTGAAGTTAAATGTTAAAATAAGAATTGAATTAAATAAATTCATATCACGGGCAACAACATCAACGGTTAGGGGCCATGTAGGTTAGGATGCTGGCCACTTGAGTTCTGGAGGGCCTTGGCCACCTCCTCTTGCAATGTGCTGGGTGGCTCGGACACTATATCCGTATGCATAGATAGGTACTTTAATTTATTCGTAACAGCTAAAAGTAAATTAAGTATTAAAAGGGTCTACATTAGCTTGAAATTAAATTTGTTTACCGGGTCTCAAGTCAATAAGGGAACAGTGCTGATCGACCCAGAGAAAGGCAGTCCGTCGAAGTTCATCAAGACTAGCACTCGAAACTGTTGAAGTGTAAGAGGCAAGCAAAGGTTCCAGAATGAGACCCAACTGAAAAAGCAATAATAATTAGCAATTATCATTGACAGATTTCATTATTTCAAAATATATGTTGAAGCTATTTGAGGTAAATTTTAGAAAAGTTTGGCAATACCTATGTTATGTAAGATAACAATTTGTTGTATTTTATATGATAGTTATATTATAGTGTTATTACTTTCCATAAAGTTATAACTAAACTAAAATATTATGTTACGTTCCTTACTATTATACATAGAGCGACAATAGGATGGAAAAAGAAGTTTTGATCAATTTATGCGCTTGAACTAAGCGCTAATATAATGCGACTTACAATCCAAAACTTCCAATCATTCATTGTATTGTACCGCACGTAGATCTCGTATAGCTGCCGAACGTGTTCCGTGCCCTGCCTCGTTACAGGCGCCCCATTTGCAGGCAAAATAGAGTGTAGATGCCTTTAAGGAGATAGTAAGATATATAAAAATATCGTAGGTATAGTATATTGGATTTCCCTACGTCAGCGAATTGTTTAGCTCGTCACGCTCCATCCGCAGAGCCTCAATCTTATCCTTTAGCACATTGCGCTCCTGTCGCAGTTGTTTTATGTGGTCCGCTCCCTTTTGGAGCATTGCCGCCTTGCTCAACTTGGCGTTTGGGTTCTGCTGAAGCTGTGGGATAAGCGCGTGCAGGGTGTCAAACCCATTCTTTATGTTGTATCGCCGCTTCTGCTCAGCATGGATGTGGCCAGCCCGCCGCTGGGTGTCTCTCGGCTGGTATTTGAGGCTGGCCGTGGGCGAGAGTGGGGAATCCTGCGACTCGTGGAACGGCGAGTCCGGTGACAGACTTAAACTATTACTGTTAAGGTTAGCCGTCGAAGGCCCAAAACTGTGCATTTTGTTGCCTCCGGGGGGGCTATGCATTGCAGGATTTATAGCCATAGGCAATGAGGCGGACTTCTTTGGTGAGTGTTGTTGCGTTGGCACCGGAACCGACAACGGGGTTGCCACGTTAGCGTAAAGAGCCGCAGACACGCTGCTGCTGTTATTTGTGGTAACTATGGCACTGGCTGAAGATGGATTCGAAGGCGAACTGTTCGCCACTGCCGTTTGGAGACGTGAATCTAAAATTGGAAATTTTACATTATTTACATTATTATTTTTCGTAGATTTCTGCTAAACGTAAAACTTACTCGAAGTTAGCAACTGAGCCAGGGTACTATTAAGCATTGGATCGCTTGTTGCCTGCTGCATTTGCTGCGTGACCAACAGGTTACTACAACTATGCGAGCTTAATGGAGAGCTTCCCGCTCCAGCTGCAGCCACCACTGATGAGTGCTGTTGATGCATAGAGTTGCTGCGCACCCGTGACTTGCCCTTGGCGTGATACTTGGGCACTGCAAAGGGTTGCTCATGGATGAGGTGCCGCCCGTCAGGCAGCTTATTTAGCGACACATTCAGTGGCAAGCTGTTAGAACGATGGATTTCTTTTGGCAAAATGGTGTTTGGGGAAACCCAAGTGGCTGTGCTAACTGCAGTTTGTTGATGCTGTTGCTGTTGCTGCTGATGATGATTTTGCTGCTGCAGTAAACTAGCCACTGTGGTCTGGTGCTGCTGTTGTTGTTGTGTGTTTGTAATCTGTTGCTGCCGTGAAAGCTGCAAAAACTGCTCAGTACTAAGACCTAGTGGCAGCGATTGTTGCAACTGCGCGGGGTCTTGCTGCAGGTAACTCTGTTGTTGCTGCTGCTGCGGCATTCGGGGAACATTAAGAAAAGTTCCCGTCGAGGCGGACTTCTTAAACTGCGGATAAGGCTTGTAACCAATAGAGTTGTATCCACTATCGTTCAGTAATGACAAAACGTCGGCATGCAGAGGTTCCACTTTGACGTTAAGTTGCTGCTGATGCTGCTGCTGGTAGTTGTCCGTGTAATTGTTCATGAAACTCTGGCTATTGAAGGTCTGCTGCGTCGGAAAGTGTTGCTGCTGCGTAAGCAGTTGCTGCTGCTGTTGTTGTTGGGCTGTTTGGAAAGAAGGCTGTAGCATTACTCCGCCGACAATGTGTTGCTGCTGCTGGTTCTTTTGCTGTTCGGCCAACATCTGCTGGTAGAGGTTCGTCTGGTGCAGCGTTGGCTGGGCCTTGTCGTAGTTGTGCGGCTCCCGTCGGAATGGACGTTGGGTGCTTTTGGCCACGCGGCCGTTTATCACGCACCTGTTGCTGCCGTTCTCGTTAGCGCCGACAGCTCCAAAGTGCTTGCCACTATGCATCCTGCCGGACTGTGAGCTCGGATCCCCGAGCAGCTGAGAATCGTTGGCGGATTGCTGCACCTGTCGTGCTACGGAAAACCGTTGCTCCACCTCACTGTAAGCCATATTGTTAATGGGCGTGTTGAGTTCCACCATGCTTGCATCCACATTTCCAGCGCCGCTGTTACTGCTGTTTACCACATCCATTATGCTGTCATTGCAATAGAGTGTATGAGGAGCCCCTACGATCGCTGAAAGGCAGTAATCGTCGTTCTTCAGCATCTCAGCATCGGTTCCCTCTTCTGGGACAGGTGGTAAGCGAGTGGTGGGAATTAGATCTATAAAACAGGACTTTTTATTTCACATCTTTTATTAACCAAAAAACTACTTACCTGAAAAGGTTATGTCGATGTCATCTAAATTCGGTTGCAAGGGCCCTAGGCTGGGCTGTATAAAGTCCGCGATTCCAGCGCCGCGTGCTTTTTTTGGATGAAAATTTTAATATTCAAAATGATTGATAAGTAAAACTTGTATTATATTACGCACCGATTTCCCTGGAATCAGGAAAAGGAAATGGAACATTAATAGCAGAGAACAAGGTATCCGTTGTCCAATCGTCTGGCATCAAGTTCCTATCGTTCAACGGCGACCATTCTAAGAAGTCCAACTCGCTTTTCTTTAAGAAGGATGTTATATTTCTAATTTCAAGAAGTGTCTCCGATGGCAGTATAGTTAAGCATGTTAAAAAAAAGTTATAGATTTTCACAGCCATTGATATATTTATGTATATATTTTGTTCTTTCTAATTCAATTCACCTTGTTCTGGGTAACTTGGTAATTCTTGTTTGAACCTACAGCCCAAGTCAAGAGTAAAGACCCTGCTGTTACTGCGTTTTGGGCAAATAATTTTGGAATGCAAACAATAATTTATACATGCAGAGGTTACCACATTTCTTGTAAAATTAACCAGGCAAAAACAACTTAACTAATTTTAAAATATTTCTGCTAGCAGATATTGACGCTGCCAGACCCAGCAGCCCTAACTACTAACATTCCCACTAACCGATATCGGATTAGAAATTATTACAAATATATATTATACGTAATTGTGTATCACCTATCATTTAATATTTGACCTAGTTTTTTGTTTTATATTACTTAAACTCAAAATTTTTTCCATTCGTTTGGAATATGATTAATATAGTGATTATTTTAGCTGTAAAGAAGGCAACTTTTAGAAAGAAATGAAAAAAGCTATCTGTCTATTGCTAAAAGGAGAACATAGAAAAAGCGTATTCTCTTAGCGTTTTTACGGAACCTAATCTTGAATAATCGAATCTTCAATAAAGAGGACGCGTAATAATGACGTAAAAAACCAACCATAATTAATAACTAAAAGATAATGGTGCAGAGAACCTGGCTATTAGCTTAATTGGAATATTGACTTTCGGCATTTGGCTGACTTGTTAGTTAGTTGAGTGAAATAAGACAAATAACACCTATGGGTAGAACGAATTTGAAGCTTCTGTCTTTCCTGCACTATCAACGCTTCTTGGGGTTAACAGACTTGGACTTTTCCGATGCACTGCAAATTTATTGGCTCAATGGTACCTGGATTTCGATTGGGACTCAGATTCTGGTCGTTGGCGTTTTCGTATCCTCTTTAGTGGCCGCACTGGCAGAGTCTCTTTATAACATGGACACTAAAACCCAGACAGGCAACACATTCGACAGCGCAGTGATACTGACCACCTCGGTCAGTCAGTTGCTGGCCAATCTTTGGTTCCGCTCACAGCAAGAACTACAGGTGGCCCTAGTAATGCGTGTATCACAATTGGCGCAGCGTTTGCAATTTGAACCGTTGATAATACCCCAAGCCATATGGATATACCTAATCTGGCTAGCGGTGTGCCTTTTTTATGGGGGCATGGTGGGTCATTTTGGCATCAGTTGGTTGACTGACATGCAGATAAGCCACGTCCTTACTTTGCTTGGATTTGTATCCCGTTGCATTTTGGCCAATTTTCAATTCACCTGTTATACCGGCATGGTGTTGGTCCTACAAAGACTTCTACAAATTGACGTACAGCAGCTGAACCGCGTGGTGTCCACCACCTTTATCTCAATGGCAGATTTGGCCGTCTGCCTAAGAACCCACGATGAGATCCTGTTCTTGGCTCAAAGGGAGCTGGTTGCTGTTTACGGCGGAGTGCTCTTTTTTCTTTTTATGTACCAAGTCATGGAGTGCGTATTGATAATCTACGTCAGCAACTTAGAGGGGTTCAGTCATTCAGCCAATGACCTAGTACTCATTCTGGGTTGGCTCGCACCCATCGTCTTCTATCTCATCTTACCCTTGGTAGTTAACGACGTACATAACCAGGTGAGTTTATTTTACGCTTCACCGTTCCCTTTATGAAAACAAGTAATGTTCCTATAATCTGGTGTGTCGACTTAATGACACTTATTACTGAACTTGTTTCTTGAGGGTAGGCCAACAGTTAGTGCAGTCGCAATTAAATTGTGTTAAATGTAATCGGCATTGGTTTTAAAATTGTCCGATAGAATTATCTACTTGAAAGAGTTCCTGTCACAGAGAAGAAGTTGAAATAAACGTATAATTTAGGTAAGTGGGTATTTGCTAAGTTTGGTAAAACTTCATAGATCATAGCTTTCAGTTTACGGTCTAACACCTCCAAAAGGCTTATGGAGGGTCACTCAAAAAAACGACGTTTACCAAAGGCTTATATAGTGTTAGACATTCAATCGCTATGGACGACATCAAGCCCGGGGAACTTTGCGCTTACTACCGTCTATGTCGATATTTGGGCATATTCTGCATCGACTATAACTCCGCTAAAAAGAGGTTCCGGTTGCGTCGCAGTCTCATCTGTTACGTGGTGCACTTCGCATTGCAAACCTATTTGGTTGGCTGTATGGCCGTCATGGTTGCATATTGGCAAAAGTGCTTTAAGAGCGATCTGAGCAAGACTGGTAACCACTTCGACCGGCTAGTTATGGTGATTGCCCTGGGTATTCTTGTCGTCCAAAATGCCTGGCTTATTTGGCTACAGGCGCCACATCTGAGAATTGTCAGACAAATAGAGTTCTATCGACGGAGACACCTGGCTGATATGCGGCTACTACTGCCCAAACGCCTGCTGTGGCTCATCATTGCTACTAATTGGCTTTATATGGCAAACTTCATAAAGACGTGCGTGTTCGAGTGGTTGACGGACGCCTCGCGACTCTTTGTCATCACAACGCTGGGATTTCCTTTGCGATATCTGGTCACTAGTTTTACAATGGGCACATACTTTTGCATGGTGCATATATTGCGCCTGGTACTCAGCAGGAACCAGTCGATTATCAAAGAAATTACTGAACAGTCGGGAGACCTCAAAAAGGGCAGCGTGAACCTCCTTCATTTGCGTGGATGCTTAGAGCTACACGATCGCTTGGTCCTGCTTTGTAACGATGAGATCAGTCTCGTCTACGGATTTATTGTGTGGTTGTCGTGGATGTTTGCCTCGCTGGATGTAACTGGCGTGATTTATCTTACTACCGTAATTCAGACTAGAAAATCGATTGTCCTGAAATTGCTGACAAACTTGGTGTGGCTTTCGCCAACCTTTATGACCTGTGCCGCAAGTTTCATAAGCAACCGCGTCAGTATTCAGGTACGTGAAATGGATCTTTACGACTTACCTTTTTGGAGGTGCAGAAAGTATTTGTTTTCAGCTTCCTGATCATTTTATTTAAGTTTCCTATTATTTCCTTACAAAACGTGCAATCTTATTTATGAAGTCCAAGCAAGTTAAGAAAGTGTTTTATATCGATTTATAATTTGGAGAAAGGACTTCAGCTCTTCGCTTCCCATTCCACACAGCTATATAAGCACAGCCGAATCATATATAGTTGCAATCTAGATCTCAATAGGTATTGATTATTTAATGAGGCCCAACAAGAAACGAAACCAAAAGAGCTTCTGGGTGCCAGTTTGTGGTTTTCCGTCATGACCCTCGGTGCCGAGTTGCGGGTGTATTTGTTCACATTTGAGTGCCTCGGACTACTCTGCATTACAGACAAGAATCACAGCGGCTATGGATCACACGCAACTAAGGCAGATGAAATAATTTCTTTGATAGGACTGCTTAGCTCGCAGTTCCTGTCACTAGTAGCCCTGGGTCATGTGATGATAAATCCTGGAGAGTACAAAATGGCTATTTACGGTCAAGTGGGAAATACATATTTTGTTGCCAATTATGGCTTGGCTTGCTTAACGATCTGCCTCATCCATATGTACTTTTATGCTCGCCGTGCCAGATTAAGATCCCTGATATTCCTGTTTTTGCGTCATAATCGCATAGATCTGGGGAATCGGCATGCAACAGAATTTGCTCGAATTTACGCTGTGTATGCCAGCCAGGTTCTTCTCACATGCGTGCTCCAGGCCAAGGTGTTCGGCCATTCTGGTTTTGAGGTATGGAAAACGGTTCTACTGACCGCCATTTCCTCATACAGTTACGTACTGCTTGGCCTCATTGTAGCCTTGCACTACTGTTTAGTCCGAGTTTCCCAAAGCTTACTTTTTCTTTACAACCAAGACATGTCAAGAATAGTCCGCTCGAATTTGGTACTATCAGAGAGCTTGTGCGGCCTTCGCCTGCGACAGCGAAGTCGACTTCTGTGGGTTTGCAATCAGCGAATGAGTTCTGACTTGGGTTTAGTGTTAGCGATAATTATGTCGTTTCTGCTGTTCTCAGCTCCAGGTGCCCCTTTCTTTTTAATAACGATCGTTTTTGAAATCGACGCACGCCATGCTGGAAGGCAATACCTTTGGCATGCGCTGGCCACTACGCTGCTCTGGAATCTGCCCATCATGGTGGCCACCCTAATTACGCTGCGCACTGATGTGGTAGGAAGAGAGGTGAGCTGAGTGTTACCAACTTGACCTAATTGACTATATTCATGTAAAGTACATGTACTTAAAGTGCCCCTAAATTATTTGGAACTTAATTAATTGGAGCAATAAATAATAATTTAAGAATAAATAGGAAAATATCGGTCAGATTTGATAATTAAGGCAATTATGTCCATTTTTGCTAGTTGAAATGAACAAAGCGCCACCTTTTGTCGCGGTTTGTGGGCGTTAGAGTGGGCATGCCCAGGTGAAAACACACGCCACGCTTCAGTGCCATCTCTAAAATAAATATTCCTAAGCCTAACTTTCTATCTTTTATAGTTCCCGAGATTTTCGAATATTTGGTTTTCCTCTCTTTTGTGTGTTAAAGTGGGCTTGGTCAGATAGTTTAAAAAAATAGGCCTTTGGGGCGTCATTAGAAACTACATGCTTAATCCCAACATTCTATCAATTAAAGTTACCGAGATATCAGCCTTTCTTCAAAAAGCGAAAAACGTCTTTCGAGCTTGGTGGGCGTAAGAAAGGGCGTGGTCGGATAATGGTACCCTGTCATCTCAAGAATTTACTTACTTAATCCCAACTTTCGACCTCTAATAGTTCCTGAGATGCCCGTTAAAAGGTGAGAAATGTTTTGAGCTAATCACCTCTCATCCTTTACTTTTAAATATATTTTATTAGGCAAACCTCTTTCTTAATACCTAGAAGTTATAAGAGATCCCACAAATTAATCCATTAAGGGTATCTGCCCTTACCCAGCTGGAAAAATATAGCAATAATGTTTGTAAACAAGCGACTTGCTAGACCGTGTCCCTGGAGAGCTAATATTGAAGAGACGTTATATTAGTTGACTAGCGGAACAAATGAATATTTTTACAATAGTTAGTTAGTTATTAGTTGATTGACGAGTCAAATGTCGCGCCACGCTTTTGAAGAGTTTAGGGTACAACTTCGAGTATTGAGATGGCTCGGTGTCCTCCGGTTTAGTATCGACTTTGAGAAGTGCTTAGTTCGGGAAAGTGCTTTCGAGGAGCGCTGTGCTTGCCTTTATATGATGAGCGTGGTGGGAGTTACTTGTAGTTTTGTCATCTATAGCTTCTTTTATCCAAATCACTTTGTAATGGGCAAACACAACAGCACCGGCAACTGCTATGGTCTGATCAATTTTAGGTCCTGTTCCATGGTCACAACCCTGACGTACATTCACCTCTATGTACGTCGCTGTCGCTTCGCAAACCTATTGCGGTCGATGCTGCGATTTCACCGAATTTTTGGGTGTCGCGGAGGAGTCATAACATTTGGTTTTCCCTTCATCCTACATCTATCTCTATTAGTGCTTTGCATGCTGAACTACGCCCACGGCTACTGGGCAGCAGGCGTTCGCTTGACCACAATTCCCATTTACCTCCTTCAGTACGGCTTTTCGTACCTTGTTCTGGGTCAGGTGGTTGTCCTCTTTGTCTTCTTTCAACAAATTCTGATCTCAGTTCTAAAGCACAATAATGAACTGCTTCTGCAAAATATTAAGCCATGCAAGGACCGCCACGAAGTTTATCAAAACTTTTGCAAATACAACCATGTCATGTGGCTTTGTTATGTAGACATCAATAATTGTTTCGGTCTTCTACTGTTGCCCTTAACCGGATTCATCCTGCTGATCACCCCCTCAGGACCGTTCTTCCTGGTGTCCACTATCTTTGAAGGACGCTTTCAGCACAACTGGCGGTTCGCCTTCATGTCGTTTACTGCCATATTTTGGAGTCTGCCGTGGGTGGCTTTGCTGGTTTTGACGATGGGCGTCAACGACGTGCAAAAGGAAGTGAGTAACATTTTTCCCTTAACAAACTAAACACGCAGTGTTTATAGAAAAGCATCCAAGGTACACCACCACGGTGGTAATTTTCTAGCAGGAAGTGCCGCAGTGAACCGTTTTTCGAACGCCTTAAGAACCATAAAAAGTTTTGACGGATCAGGAATATATATATATATATATATATTGTACATATAGGTATTGACGAAGAAATGTTGTTTAGAGTCAAACAAAAATCTTAATATTATGGGCGCTAAAGTATTCCGCTGCGCAGTATGTAGACTGTAACAAACACATTAAATGACACAAACTTTACTCGAAAGTAAATTTTTTACTGATGTAAAAGAATTTACAGCTTTTGAAGAAAACATCTAATGATATTAATTTAAATATTTGAGTACTTTGTTCACTTAAAATATTTTTTGTTAGTGTATAGAGAAAGGGAAACCGAAAGGTGCGGGACCTAATTTAATAATTTCCTGTCCTGTACATCAGAATCAATTTAATTACCCTGAATAAATTGACTTTCTCTGTCAGAGAATAAATAATGAAATTGGATACCTATCCGGTTGATTGGTTAGTTCGCAGCGACCCCTCGACTTCAGAATGTCAAACGTCTGCCGGGACCTACGTCTGTACCTTCGTCTGTTGCACCTCATGGGCATAATGTGTTGGAATTTCGATTCGGAGCGATGTCAGCTAATAACTACTCCCCAAAATGAACGCTACGCCGTTGCATATGCTGGGTTTATTTTCGCTGCTACCACGGCCTGCTTCACCTTTGCCCACCTTCAGTCGTATCGGTTTCACATTGCTATTTACAATAGGACAGGAAATTTTTACGAAACCATCATCTTCCGCAGCACTTGCCTGGTGATTTTTCTGCTTTACTTGATTCTCTATGTGCGGCGACACCGGCACAGGGATCTGGTTCAGCACCTATTGTGCCTTAACAGGCGCTGCGTGGACCGTTGCACAGACCGACAGTTCCTGTACAACCTACTACTGTACGGCTTGCTAAGCGTTGTCTGCTTTGGCAACTATCTGCACGGGTACAGTCGTGCTGGACTAGCAGCCCTTCCGCTTGCCCTGTGCATGGTGGTCTACACCTACGCCTTTTTGGTGCTCTGCCTGCTTCTGGTGTTCTTCGTGTGTCTCAAGCAAATCATGGCTGCCGGCTTGATTCATTACAACCGCCAGCTGTGCGAGGGCGGTCTGGCTCCTGGTCTGCGAGGCAGGCAACAGATCCTCACAGTTTGCTGGGGTGAGCTGAACGAGTGCTTTGGCATAATTATGCTGCCTATTGTAGCCCTAGTACTCCTGATGGCGCCCTCGGGACCATTTTATTTAATCAGCACCGTGTTAGAGGGCAAGTTCGGCCAAGCCGATTACTTATCGATGCTCTTGACCTCCTCTACTTGGGATACCCCCTGGATGATTATGTTGGTTCTCATGCTACGCACTAATGGCATTATAGTGCAAGTGAGTTTGTTGTGGGAATACCTCAAGGAGTATACATATGTGCACAATCGTGATAATATCTATAACTTTCTGATGCTCTATTTGGCAGGCGAATAAAACAGCAAAGATATTGGCTAAAGTTCCCAGAACCGGAACGGGATTGGATAGAATGGTGAGCCGATTACGTTCCACATACCACCTATAAAATCTTATTAAACAATGTTTATTTCTAGATTGAGAAGTTCCTACTGAAAAACCTTCGCCAGCAGCCCATTCTGACGGCCTATGGATTTTTTGCATTGGATAAAAGCACTTTGTTTAAGGTAAAACCGCTGACTCCCAAAACCGGTCTACAAACTAATTTTAAATTTCGATAAAGCTATTTACAGCCATCTTTACCTATATGGTGATTCTTGTGCAGTTCAAGGAAATGGAGAATACTACAAAGTCTATTAACAAATTTTGATCACTTACCGAATCGTATGTTAAACAGCCCGTAGCCTTCGATCTATAGTTCCTGCGCCATTTTCTGTACTCAGCTTTGATTACAGCTGAGTGACGTTTCCAGTACTTGCCTTCAAGAACGACAGTCTGTGTGGGATTTAAAGGAAAGATAAAGCGAGATGAGAGTGTGCACACAACGAAACCTTGTTATTTTCTAATCAAAAGCAAATATATACTCTATTTCCCAACTTAATTATATTCAATCGTAATCTACATAGGCGCCGAGATAACGGGATAGAGGTGATATTCTCAAAAAGTGTACATTTTCGCATTTATTTTAACCACTTTTTTGATAGTGCTACAGCCCTACAGAACGACCAGATTTATACAACTACCTTTCATGTGTTTAAATATAACAATAGGGAAAAGCAACTCCGTTTGATTTGTTTCCCAAATATACGCGGTTTAATAAACATCATATTCCGTGACAGAAACGAAGTATTCGACAGAATTAGCTGTATAAGCAAGTTTTAGCTAGCTTCTTGTAAAAATGTCTTTGTTATAAGGCTTGTTGTTCATTAAGACGCTCTTTTGCTCCTGTATATCTCCTTTTGCCTTTCGATTTACATAGGATTGAACACAATGATTAAGTTTTTTAAACATCTAGTAACATCATGTGCATGACCCAATTTTATGGGGTTCAATAGAACCAATTACTTAATGTATTTGTCTGCTAATAAACCTTTTTTATATTTGCCAAGCTTATTTATTGGTATTACAAACATTACAATAAAATTGAAATACCATAGTTATGTCTCTAACTATTGAATATCGAAACTTTATAATTTCACAAAAGTAGTCAATCGATAAGTGCAAGCAACGATTAAACAATATGGTACTTGAGTTGAATCTCACTCTATAAATAAGAGCGTCCCGCCAATAGGTTAATGACAGCTAAAAATAACACGGCAAAAGCCTCGTTGCTCTTATCACGTGCAGCTGGAGAGGGTCAGGCGGAGAAGACGGTAGAGCCACAGCAATCCAGGGGTCCAAGCCGTATCTCACTCCGGGATTCGATGTCGCACGACAACCGAACGACGATCACGCCGAAGTCGAATGATGTCTTCCTTTTCGGCAGCGTGAACCACCCCCCGCTTGAGTGCGGGCAGTGAAGTGTGTTTTAACTAAAGCTAAATAAGGATATCTCCACCAACCATGTCAGACGTACGCCACTTTTCGCAGGTTATTTATGTTTATGATGCGCGTGGACAGATGGGCTGATCGATGACATTTCGAGTGGTCGAATTACCTAACCAATGACTAAGGCTAGCGGCAAATTCGCATACAAAAATAGATGATAATGATTAGATGATTACTTTTCCGTAGATATGAAAATTACTTGAAAAGCAAATAATTCCTAACGCGAGCTATTAGAAACTGTAAAAGAACACTTTACCGAACTTTTTATATAGGGTCAAAATTGTAATTTTCCACAACTTTTGTTTAAAATCAATGATAGACTGCTTTTTTTATAGTTTTATATTATATATATAATTTATAATTCCCTCTGAACAGTGATTGCAGTGATTTTTAAGCTCTAAATCCTCTTTGACCGTTCGTACATCATGAGTTTTAACCTATAACCTTATATGATTTTAATCAGACTAATGAGTCGACTTGCCTTTACGATTTTAAAACTAGGAAAGCTTATCACACTAAAATGTTTTAATAAAATTATATTCCAGAAATAGTACTATTTTAGATATGAAGATTATTAACTCGTTTTTACAGAAATAATTTCAAATTACTTGACACTTGTATGTAAAAGAAGAAATAATGAACATAGTTAATAATTGTCTGTTTTAGCCAATTTAGTTAGGATGCAAGGTATTTTTAAGATTCAAATGTTCAGGTCAAAGAAAGTTTCAAAATGTGGGTGTGGACAAAATTAGCCCAAATTCTAACACAACTTTCTAGCTCTTATAGTGGCTGGATCGTCTCTTATGACTATTATATAAACAGTAAGATAAAATATAGTTGAAATCGTTTCCCTTTTATTAAAAAGGACCTTCAAATGTCAGCCTATAATTCAAATTTTTAGTGGTACTTACTTGAGGATTACTATGTATGTCAACGTCCAGCGGCGACGCAAATTGACACACCGGGGTTCTGCGCTTTTGTATGACTGCAAAAATGGAAAACACACAAACACCGTTTAGTATGAAAAACATTAAAAAACCAAAGTGATAAGATTGTAGGGAGAGATAGATAGAGATAGCGAGTTCCCCAGAGATGACAAAAGTTAGCAACACGTGTGATTCTGCCAGTGGCTTTTCCTAAAAATTATCTGGGGAGCTGTGACGTTGCTAACAAATGCTCAGGGAAGCAAAATCTCATCTAAATCCTTTTTACATAGGCACAAATACGCACACACGTTCTTAAAAAATGTAATTTTATATATAATTTTGGTAGTTTTTCAGAATATATAAGAATAACTTCTGAATTCTGAATTTATTAATCTAATAGAACTGACCAAAAAAAAAGTGTATCAATCCAAGTATTTCAACTACAGGTCATTTTTTGGCTACACTCTTTTTACGCGCACCCATTTTGATCAAATAAACATGCTTTATTTTAAGAAAGACACCTATAAACGACAAAACTTTTCAACAGACAATTGTAAATTGATAAAAACCTTGTCTGCCCGCGAATTTCCAAAAGTGTTGGACCTGGATTTCGTTTGACGCTGCGATTCGAAAGAGATATGAAAGCAAAAACAATACAAAAAAGTCGGAAGATAGATCTTGCTAATTGATCGAATTTCCGTAAAGTCGTGTCAAGTCATTTAAAATAGTGTTTTAACTTAGTCACTAGGAAAACATGTATAAGCACATTTTGAGATTTATATAAGAATGATAGAGCAAAAGTTCAATCGTCTCAGAGGCTGTGCTCTCCCAAGCTGTCGATTCGGATTACGTGGGTACTCTTAAGGTAATTGCAAAGATTAAATTATTAATTGGGGGAGGGGGTTTAGTATTTACGGAAGAGATGGTGGAAGTGGTTGCTTATAAATAAACATAAAATTTTCCATTGCCTTTGCCGCCGTCTTGTTGCCGTCGACATCTAGAGGAGCGACGAGATAATCACTTCACCTCACTATGGTTTGTAACGCAGCGCTGCCGTCCTCCCACTCACACAAATGATGTAACGGAAAATTTTGAAAATTATATCAGCAGCAGCTGTGACAGAATTCAAAACAAAAGCGCTTTGCTGTTTGCCCAAGCTTATGTTTCGCCTGCCATTGCCTTTGCCTATGACGAGGTGCTAATCAATGGGGCACTTGAGACTGCGCTACACTCCTCCCGCGGCTAAAGTGCGCGGGAAAACTCCGAGCCAGTCTGGGCGAGCGGGTGGTCACTAAAATGTATTAACAGCAACTAAAGAGGCCAGTCACCGGCACCGGAATCATATGTTCAGCTTTTAATTAGACGGCAGCAAGGCCAAAAACAAAATCCAGTGAAATCCAAATAAAATGACAATCGCCGAGGGTCCAGACTCTGATAAGGGCCGGTGGCATAGACAGACCAAGATAAGCGCCGGGAGTGGCGAAGGCGGCAGAAGAGTCGCCGATGCCCGCCTGGCAACGCCGCTCCACCCAGTCTCCCCTCCATCCAGACAGACGGAGATCATGTCTGCGGTCTGCCCCAAACCAGTCGGCAACTTTCAGCCAACAACAGCCAAAAGTAGTTCAGCTGCACGAAAGAGTAAGCGGGCGAGGAGATCGCTTACCTCAGTTCAAATGTGCTTTGAAAGCTTTTGACCGACACTAGATCTCTCATTCACTCTGACTAGTTTTTGTTGATGGGGCTTCTGCACGTGTGGCGCTTTTCGAGGAAATAAACATCAAATTGGTTTATAATTTGTTTGGAATATTTTACCAATGCCGATGGCGGACAATCGCTTCGACCCAATGCCAATAACATGTGGAAAATTTCTACGAACTGCAATCTCAAGAGCCCTAGCTAACCAAACGATTCGACGTCTAATCGGGTTTTTTACCCGGTAGAACTCATTTGATAATATATTCGGAAAAATCTCGACACATTTAATTGGCTTAGTGCTACTAAAAACACGATTGAAAGGTTTTAAGTGGTACTCACATTGCATGTGCCAGCAGCGCCAGATGACATTGTTCAGCCGAATTTTGTCCTTCCAACGCAGTCGCACTCCTTTGAAATGATTCCATTTGGGCGAGGTCAGTTTTTGACTGCAAATACGACAAGAAGTTGTATAAAGCTAAATTATATCTAAAAGCTATGTGAAAGCCATATACCGAAGGAAAATAAATTCTATATAGATATGTGTATCACCGTAACTCTCTCCACTATCTTTATTCTGATATCTGCCTTTGTGTCAGCATTATCAGTATGTAACAAACAAATCGATTTGTTTATAAATATCAAAGCAATGAGCAGATTGTGGTCTAAAAATAGACAGACCCCTAACCCCGTCCCAGCTGCAATCTCTGTAAAATCTTCCTATATATGAACATCTGCGAGTATATTGTCATAATCCCTTCTTTTTAATGGGGAGTTCCAGCGAAGTAGGTAAGGTAGCATATTGAACCTAACTAAAAACAATTAATAAATACGTACATCAGGCTGGATGTCTATAATAAATGACTAGTCAACATCACTGTTGATTTATTATTGTTATTGCTGTTACTATCGTATCTGGTGTTCCGTAAGAATTATTAGACAAACATCAAAAAATATCTGATATTAGTGCTACTCTCGAACAGGCCCTTCATATTGCGCAATCGAGCTCTTGAAAGCAGTTAAACAACATTCCCATGTGGGGGTGGCCCCTCATGGAGTAACATAGATAGCGCTTTACCGAATGACTTAGCTGTTTGGCTATGATTAACTTCCTGTACGGGCCATTCACTGACACTAATTAAATCTGTACACTCTGAAAAATTGTTTGTCGATCACAAGATTCCCAAACAGAAACAATTTTCTTCTACATATATGCATTAGGATAAAGCTAGACTTTTGGATCTGAATTTGATTTGAAAGACCGTGGGATCAAAAACGGTAGGATTTTCCTTTACAAGATTATCAACCGCTGTGTTCGGCAAACTACCATCATTTTGATCTATTTAGATGTCTATGCGATATGCATAATAAAGTTTTTCAGCTTCTTTCAGTTATAGTACGAGCTTTTCAATTCATTAACAAGAAGAAACGCTATAGTGGAGAGCCGCAACTTTAAATATGCGTTACTGATTTATACAATTTTAAAATATTTATTTTGCTGGTGGAAATTCAGAAAGCGCCACCTTTTGCCAGAAAAAGTATGTTGACTAACTGACGGTGACGTCACTGCCCATGTAAAGCCTTATAACCTAAATTCCTTCATAAGTAGCGAAATAATGTTCCGATTTGAAAAATCTTTGGTAAATAAGTTGTAAGATATTATATAATTATAAGGTCAAACGAAGGCATTCATAATATTATTATAGACGCTAAGTTTTCCACGGTTTGTGGGCGTTAGAGTGGGCGCGGCAGGATTCTGAAATAAACTTGCGCTGTCCCGGGACCTCAAGAATCTTCATGCTTAATCTCATCTTTGTATCTGTTATAGTTCCTTTATAGGGTCGGAAACGCTTCCTCCTATATATTACATACTTTTCAACGAATCTAGTATACCCTTTTACTCATCGAGTAACGGGTATAAAAATGAAATTTGAGTGGCTGGGTGAAAAAAAAAAAGAAATACGCATTGGGGGCATCATGAAAAAGATATCGCAACGTTCATACGGACGGACGGACCGATTTCCGTATTTAATAAACCCTTTTACTCTAAGGGGTATTAAAATATGTTTATACAGCGAAATTCGTTAAGGCAAGGGCTGTATATTGCAAAATGAACTTAACTTGATTTGTTTGTATATTTTATGTTTATAAGGGTTTCTCCTTTTACTACAAATTACAATAGGTGAGTCTTAAACAACCATAAACATGAATTTTCTTCGCAATATTATGCCAAATCCTTTTGATTGTAACATATTATTTATAGTATTTTAATAATCGGACGTGTTCTTTGTGATTAAAGCGATGTTGACTAAAGAGGTGCCGACAAAAAAAGTGTTAATGAATATAAGGGCTAAAATCGCCAGATTAACGATTTCCTGAGAATCAAGATTCTTTTTACACCTTTCCTAATTGAGCCGTATCGAAAGAGGGTCCATGACTTTTCTAAAAGAATCATGATCGTGAAATTAATGATACATTATTATATTATTTATCTTAGATGGGAAATAACTCTTGGCTTATAATAGTTTTAGTGTTTTTCGTGCTTTTAAAAAATGTATGATTATTATATGTGAAATAAAAATTTAAAATCTCTCTGGGATGGTAATTGGTAAAATCGACAAAGAAAATGTCCTCATGTTGTCGATTCTCAACCTTTACTAATAACTTTCTGTTATTAAAAAAAAACAATTTTTAGCAAAAAGAGGTCTAACATTCCACTCTATTTGAACTATTTAAGAACAAACATAAATAAATAAAAAATACTTTTTTGATACATAAATTTTTATATTCGTAACTCAATAGAAAAAACGTATATCGTATTCGTTGACAACCGTATACGGCAGGTTAAAGAGAGCGTGTTCGGCTATTTAGAGTTTTTATTTTCGTGATCTGGAACTTTACCAAAATCGACAAGATAGTCTTTGAAACAATGATAGCAATTCGGGCTTATGTACGCCAAATCCGATCCACCTGTTTTATCCTACAGCGCAGTTTGTTAGGTTATACAAAAATTAGGAGAAAATAAGTAAACAAACCAGAAAAAGAGTCCCATAAAAATGACTGTTGCTGATAAGAATATACAATACAACAATAAGCTAGCGGCAGGAGAATGCATTGAGAAAAGGTGTCGGAACTGGTAGACATTGGCAACATTTGGAATAGACGAACGTGTCGTACGATGTTTAGAAATGACTAATGATCTAAATGAATCAATTAAGTTACCTTATCTGAGAGTCTGACCACATTCCATGGTATACCACGAGGAAAAAAAAGTGAACTTAGTATTCAAATTTTTTATATTGGAGCAATTAAACCCCTATGAACAGTCGGGATCCTAGGTTATGGTGGGTTTTATCGAATAATTTTTAGTAATGAAACCGTGCAACCAAATGAAAGCATACAACTTTTATTTGCCACCGAAAAAGGTCAAAAGAGTATTTGGAATTTAAGGAGTTTATTTCTACTAAACTAATTGGACCTTTGGGATGTTTGGGATTGTATGGGATTTCGTCGACCAAGGTTCAAACGTAGATGTATGATAAGTCTTGGTTACTATGCCCACCCATGTGGTGTTTCTTCACCGCTAAGACTCGGTATCATTGCCAATGCCAACCGAGTTTGCAAAGAATTTTGCTGGAATATTTTCTAAATTTATGTATAAAGAGAATTTTTGGTAACTAAATTTTATTTGGTGCCTTTCATCTATTCAGTCCTACAATGCTCATTTAGAACTGAAATGTGTGGCTTGGAATCGTTCTGATATCACTTTGGCAATATTTTCATATTTTTCGTGACGGTTGCGCTAGCGTTTGCAGAAATGGGAGAACTTTAGCCAAGAAAGTGAGGTATAAAGGGTGGTCAAGCGATTGAGGCAAAGTTGGGTCCAAAGTAACCCGAGCAGCGACGTCGCGTCGCAACATGTGCCGCGATTATGCGACCGAATCGGTCCAAGCATTTTGTGTTGCTGGATTTTCGTTGGCCAGTTTGACGTTATCACGCTCGAAGCGCGTGAACAAGGGGGAAACTATATTTCATAGATTTTTGGCTTTCGGTGTACGGTTGTTGCTCCCTTTAGATACATAGGTACACACTCACCTGTATGCTAGATTCATGCACTTGAAGAGTTTAGTGAGGGAGGTCTCGATCTCGAGGTGCGATGCGACCATGCTCATGCTGCTCTCATCACCTTCCTGGTCCATAGCTGTGAAGTGGGCTACTGTTTGGGGCACGTATAGCTGCACGTCGCGGCACTCGTTGGCAGGTTCGCCCGGCTTGCCTAGTCCGGGGTCCTCAGGGTCAAGCATCTTTACCTCGCCGTCATCCTCGAGGTCGTCCTGCGCCTCCTCAGCCTCGAAGTGCGAGACCATAAACTGCCCGGAGTGTATCGACTCCCGCTCCGCTCTAAGCAGATCAGCCGTGGCCTCGGTGGACCCTATAGGTGTGGATCCTCCCACTCCATACTGCAGAGGAGGAAGGCTTTGGGGCAGCGTCAGCGACTGTTGTGGTTGTTGCTGCAGCTGGGGCAGCTGGTGCTGTTGATGGGGAAACATTTGACTTGTGCGTTGGAATCCCTCGTATTTATTCAGCATCATTTTCACCAGGTTCCAGGAAATGTCTACGGAAATGCTTCACTCTTGAGCTCAAAATAACTGGCGGTTGGGCTTTTATTGGTAGTTGCGGGGCACAATTAATAGGTTTTTAACAAATGAAATGACAATTAAATGCTGGCGCTGGCCCTTTTTCCGTTTGGCTTGGGATTTTCCATCACTCTGTAAACAAATTTACGGCTCATATAGGATGTAAAAGAGGGCTGAGATTTTATCGAAAATATTGGTTTCACCGAGCTTCGCGTTTAGCACGTTTAATAATACTCTAACGATTCGGTACATGTGGCATTCTCTTAATTAAATTGCTAATTAACGCACGGCTTTGATTGATAGCTTTAAGACGGCATTAATCCTTGATTTGTTTACTACGCGCAACACCTTGAGCTTTCCATTATCGACACCTGTCCGATTCGCGCTTTTTTCGGAGAGGAGCTTCTTGAAAGGCAAACACGCCCCGCTTTTGCCGTTATATGCGTCACAAAGCACAATAATAACAATTATGGCACACACGATAGCACTCAGGGGGTGAATGGGTGGTGGTACGGACGTCAGAGAGAGACGTCAGTAGCCGCTGGTCGTAATAGTAAAACGCCAACTACTCGATCGAAAAACGCTCGACAACACACACGGATTGGACGATGGGTATCGGAGTGGTCAGAAGCCAGCGCAGAACGAGCGGTTCCATTCCACAAACGGAACTGATCGAAGAACGAAGCTGCGACCGCGACCAGGCGAAACCTGTACGCCGCATACAGCCAAAACATTAAACAGCTGATGCGCGCTCTCTCTCTCTCTCTCTTTCTCTCTCGTTCCCGCTGCTTATCAGCATGTGAACGTATGGATGTGTATACTTATATACACGAAGATGCCAGCCAACGGTGTGTTCCCCACCCTCTTTCCACGACCATAACCCTATCAACCGTCCAAAACAAACCACGGATGCGGCAATCGATTCCCTTCTTCCCATTTGACCTTGCCAGCTAGTTGATGCACTCTTCGAGCACCTCTGGGTTTGCACTTTTGACCTCTAGCTCTGCGCTGCCTCTGTTTCTTCCTTTCCCCTTTTTGCGTTCCCACTTACACGCACACACACACGCGCGCTCCACGCTGGGGGCACAACTGCAACTGCCCCCAAAAGACTATCACCGAACAGTTCACGTTCGCTCGTATGACGGATTCGCATCGACGACGCACACACGCTCACCCACAAATCTGCTACGTAGTTTAATTACAATTTGGCACACATTAACTTAATGCGAGGAGCGAGCCCTCGCCCTCCCATTAGGGTTGTCAAGCGATCGGTGGCTCTGATAAACAGCGGCGAGTGCCTAAATATGACCGAATTCTGACGCAATGGTGAGCCGGAACCGCAACATTGAGCACGTTCCAGCAAAAAGAGCAGATGTAAATGCCAATGGTAATATGGAATAATTCCGAGTTTAAGAATTTTTCAGTGCGGAAAACAAATAAAATGTCTTTTGTTGTATTTAAAGCCAACGAAATTGTATAATATTCGATAGCCCTGGTTTTACCTTGGTTGAATACCCCTTATGTACCTCTTTTGATGTCAGCGTTCACACAAACCGATATTAATTGGGAACTATTGGAATGGTCTAGCACAGATTTGAACAAAAGAATAGACTTTCTTCGCAACAATAGCAATGTAGCATTTTTCCCGCCTACCCATTATATTTAAGAGAGTTCTAAAAGAAACTAGGGTTTCCTATATTCATACTTCCATTGATAAGCAAACCAAAATTTAAAAATATAAATTTTTAAAACTAAACACAAAAATTACAATATACGCCATCTTTAGAAAGCGTGTCAGAGGTTTAAATATTTATTGATATCGAATTAAGGCAAGCCAAAACTCCATTTTGCACTATTCTGCATACCTTTGTTGGTAAACTTTGGTGCTTACAATAATAATAACACTCCTTATAAATCGCGTGATTTTATACAATTAGTCAATAAAGTTTATAGTCATAACTTATAGCGCCTTTGGATTTGCGCGGCTAAAGGATTTTTTAGTACATTATAATATTGGTCGATGGTAGTTTAGCGTAAAGCCGTTCCCATGGGTGGTAACACTGCAAGCACCACTCATTCTCTTTCCAAATGAAACGCAAAAAGGTCCAATTGTTATTTTCTGCAAGGTTTTCGGCATTTATATTACCGTAAAGATGGCTCTATAGTTTGCGCGCAAGCAAAAACATCCAGCACCTTGGTGCCCCAAACACAACAAAATGGAAACGAATAAAAAACAATCGTGAGTATGCTCCAAATAGTACATTCGCTAATTTCGCAATTTTCCACGCACACTGCCGGACTTTGGCGTTGCACATTCATTATTGATGCACGTGTGTTTGTGGAATCGGCTTGTATGGATTCTCGGTTTGCTTTGCTACGTGGCAATTCAGCCCCAAGGTGATGGGGCATGCAACCAGGTAGAGAAATCGGCTGACGCAATCGCCGCCAGAAGTTGAGTAATTTGCGTTGCAAGTTGCCTGCACGTGTGGAAACAAGATGACTCACCTAGAATGAAGATTTCCCAAAGCAGAATTCCCTTAGACTTAATCGTATTTCGTTAATACAGATATAGTTATGCCATTAGTTACATATGCTGCATCACAGGATAGCTATACATAAGGAAGTTTACCCCATTAAAAAAGCCTCTTAGTGAATGAAAATATTTATTTAAAATTATTTCAAAAAAAAGTTTAAACTCGATTTTCGCAATATACCAATGAAATTGTTCGAAACTGTTGTCTGAAGGGGTATCAAGATTGCTTATCAGCATGATGCTGCCGCACTATGTTGCACAACTTAATCTAATCACCTTTTTTTCCCCCATTTTCCAGTGCCATCATGGCATCTTCACAACAACAAGAAACACCGCAAAAACTACCATTCACATTCTTCAGACCGGATTTCACTTTCTCGATAAAAAGCTTATCCTTCACATCTGATTTTGATTCTGATTATGGACGCATCATTTCATCAAACCATGGAGAGCTTGCAGTTGCCCAAGGAGCTGTATTGGGACCTGAAGCTGGAGCCACAATCCCCTACATCGGCGATCGGCTCCGATCTGTTCTCGCTCACTGAATCAACAGATGCCGAATGGCTGTATGACACTAACTTTGCAAATGGTAAGTGCCATATATTGCCAAGATCCAGCAAGATTTAAGTATTTAAGTATTTTATTTACAGGCATTACTCTTATTGGCGATGAAGAAGCTTTATGTTTAAACGAGGCTACCTCTCTCGAGCTGCTGAGCGACGAAGAGTTGGTTGTGGAGATCTTTGACCTGAAAGATGAAGGCAAGTCTAGTTTAACGTATGCCATTTTTTTGTTTTTATCAAAAATTTAAACACCATTTATAGTTCACTTTGTTAGTTTTTTGTAATTCTTCTTTGGAATTTTCTCTGCAGTTCACAATTCTGTTCGAAAATCAAAGCGATCTTCGGTGATCAGTTCTAAACTATCTAATACAACGTTATAACGTTAAGACCAAAATTAATTTATTAATTAATTGTCGTTTTTTAAATTCCTTTCAAAGCAAATTTCAAATTGGTGCAAGAAAGTTTTTTACCTACATATATATGTACATATGTATGTAAGTCTCGTTGTATGGCAAAACAAGAAGCAAACAAGAAACAAAAATAAATAAAAGTGCATTTGAACTTTGATCGTCTGCAAATTGACTGACTTAAAATTCAATAACTCGTAGGTAGACAGCCCTCCCAAATTATATATATATTTTCTATTTTGTTTTATTTTTGCCTTCTTATGTGAAGCTTGTTGTAACGTTTTAAAACCCAATATGTTATATACTAGGTTATTATTGACATATCCAGTGGATGTTGTTGGCTGAGTCATTAAGGGGCCCGTACATCAAATGGATTCGAACGAAACACTCAGGCGAGTGAGGTTGGGAAACTGGTTCGAGGCTTGCTTTGTTTTCGTTAGCTTTTTCGCTGGCATTTTGGCCAGGTTTTTGTTGTTTTCACCGTGCTTTTTATTATTGTTTATCAACGTGTCCCACAAGCCAGCACTGTAATGGCCAATTTCGAGGCAACAACACAAGCTGAGAGAGAGGGAGAGTAATAAAATTGGAATCAGCTTTTAATCAGTTTGCATTGCTTGATCACGCGCGAAACGGGTGATAGTTGAAGCTCTCTCCAATTCGCTCTTTAGAAATCTCTTTTAAATATTTTGCTGCTCAGTTGATACTTTAAATAAAACGACAGATAACAGCTGCAATTCATGGAGGAATTCAAACAAATCCCCCCGCTGTTAGAGTTCTATCCTCTCTTATGGGGGTTTAAATAACTTCTTAATAGTGGTCTGAAGGTTAATCGTCATTGGGTCTTGTTTGGAAAAAACAAAAAAGTCGTCCAACAAAGAGAGGTGCGGACCTGCCAAAAGCTGCGATCGACTTAGTTATGGCCCTCATATTTTTGGTGTTTATTTTTAAGCGGACAGGAAGCTTTGTTTTTAAATATAAATTTATCCGGAGGACGTGCCCCCCATTTTAGCAAGACAATACTTTGGGGCTTGGTCAGGTAGATGCTATAATTAACTGTATGAGTGAGAATAAAGATATTTCATTTTCAAAAACTTTATTGATTACTTTTATTCCTATAACATAAAGTAGGTTTTACAGATTGTTATCCTTTCTTTAATGTACTTCGAATTCATTGGGGAGAGGTATCCGCTCAGTCACATTTTTAATGTTTTCCGCCTAATATTAAGAGCAACCAAGTCAGTTATTCGATTGGTAGGTGGTTGAGGATGAGAGGTGGCTGACTGCTTATGTAGTGCTCATCAGTTGATAATACTATTTTAAAACATATACTTTAGAAATGCATGTATATAAAAAAATATTCAGAAAAGAACAGTGGTTGAAACTTTATTTTAAACAAGTTGAATATAAAAATACTGCAAGTTTAGTACTCTCTAGAGGGTAAGTTTTAATTTATTAATTTATATACGTTGCCCTTAGTTACAATAGTTTATTTTCGTGTTATTCGCTAAGGCTTCTTTTTATAAAAAAAAAAAAAAAAAAAAAGGAAAAATAATTGAGATTGACCAGATGAAATTCATAAATTTATCAAAGTGCTAAATTAATATTGCCCATCGGACAGAAATCGATAAAAAGGGTATGCCGAGACTATTCAACTTTCACTCGACCATGGGTCAGTTAAATTGTTCGGCCAATTCAAAACCACTGTGTACAGTTCGATTGGATCGTACTGACTCGTGCTGTGGCTACTGGCTTGACTCTGCTGATAGCTTCTCGGGCTCAAAACAAACCCACAGATTGATCTTAATGCAGGGCCTCTCCCTGGGCTCTGGTGTTTTTCCCAGTATCGTTCGCTCGCTCTGATCTGGCAGTGAGTCGAGCAAAAACCTGGCGTGCTCACTGATCGGAACTCAGTACGAATTGTTTCTCTGACGCGATCGTTCGGACCGAATCTCGGCTTTGACTTTGATTGCCTCTCCGCTCGCCACCCACCCGTCTTAACAGCAACCACAACACAAAGAAAACTGCCCAAAGCAAACCGAGACAAAAATAAATGACCAGAGAAGTAGCAACCATACAAGCACACGTCTTGACGTTTTCAAAACGCTCAAAAGACAAATAAAAAATACATTCTCTGAAATCCATAAGATTGATTCAATAAGAGCGCTTAAGATATTTTTTAAATGCTTTTGTTAGAGGAAATTTGGCGTGTTGATAAAAATAAGTCTCACAAACTTGTAATCTAAGACAACGCCCAAGGCTTGTAGTGCGTTCCGAACTTTGTGAAGTGAAGTGAAGTGGCAGCAGGGAAGTGAAGGTGTGAAGGTCTCTTATAGCATTAAACTCTTGCAACGGCGGCACAGAAAACGGCTAGAGTCCGCTTGAGGCGATCATCGAGAGCCAACTGTATGTAGCAAGCCACGAGAAAATAGACGAATCCACGAGAGCATCGCGATCACCTGAAAATTCGTTTGCGGGCGACAAGGACTTTGTTAGCATGATACCACACTGTGGATACCGTTACATGTGGAACCGTGAAATTGTGATTAATTCGCAAAAGTTGGTGAAACGACGCTAAGCAAGAAGCCAAGTTATAGGACCACGCCGACCATTTTGCGGCAGCAGTTGGATCCCACGGACAGAACACAGGAACCGAAGGACAGACACATTCTAGAAAGCCATATTTGAATTTCCTTTACACAGTTTTGAACAGGAAAACTCATCATTTACCTTTTGTAACGACGACGTGTGCATAAGCTATTGCTTTTTTTCTTTAAGCCCAAAACTTTATTTTGTTATTCTATTTACTTATAACGCCTAAGACAGCACGTTCTGCAGCTATTCGATTGTACATTCAAAATTGACTCTGTGATTTTTTTATTTTTCAATTACAAATATTTTATTATTTTATACACTTACTTGAGATACGAAACTTGTTCATATTATTAGTTAAAAAGCACCGTTAATTCTAAACATTTAGGTTTTTAATTTTTTAATTATTTTTATTTTTTAATATTTAGGTTTGTGTTCTTTGGCATTATTGTATGTAGTTTAGGCTAACTCATTTATACATTGCTACCGGCATTTTGTCTACCCACACTTTACTGCCTTTTTTTAAATTTAAACTTGAGACCATTTTCTATTCACTCGACACTTTACACTGCTGCCGCAAAAATGAGTACATATATTTTTATGCAAGCCTATGGTTAGTATGCAGATGTATAATAATATTAATAATGGAAAAACATAACAATGACGTTGGGTTGTTTTTTCTGTCCCTGCATCTGTCTCCGTCAACTTGTTTGAGGCCGATCGGGTTTGATATAATATTTCTTCGCTCCTTTTTATACCCGTTACTCGGAGAGTAAAAGGGTATACTAGATTCGTTGAAAAGTATGTAACAGGTAGAAGGAAGCGTTTCCGACTCTATAATGTCTATATATATTCTTGATCAGGATGAATAGCGAAGACGAATGAGCCATGTCCGTCTGTCTGTCAGTCTGTCCGTATGAACGTTGAGATCTCAGGAACTATAAGAGATACAAAGTTGAGATTAACCGTAAAGATTCTTGCGGTCCCTACGCAGCGCAAGTTTATTACAGAACCCTGCCACGCCCACTCTAACGCCCACAAACTGCGGAAAACTGTGGCGTCTTTAATATTATTATGAATGCCTTCGTTTGACCTTGTATAATTTATTTCTGTTAATATCTATCGATTTGCCAAAGATTTTTTAAATCGGAACACTTCGCTATTTATGAAGAAATTAAGGTTATAAGGCCTCACATGGGCAGTGACGTCACTATCAGTTACTTAACATGCTTCCTTTGACTATAGGTGGCGCCTTGTGAGTTTCCACTAGCAAAATAATATTTTAAAATTTTGTAAAACAGTGACGGGTATCTTATAGTCGCGGCACTCGACTATAGCGTTTCCTCATGTTTGTTCTTATTTTGATCTTATTCAGTTTAATATTTATTAAATTTATTTGCATATAATTTAATTTATATTTTTGATTTTGTCTAATTTATGAGAAGGGTTTTCCAATTGTCTATTCATGAAATAATAAGATATAACATATATAAAAATATAGAAATAATATTAGTTATGACACAATTCGATACGCCAATATGCCTTTTAAAATACTTAACTAAATATTCCGAGAAATCTGTGTGTCACTGTATTTTCCTAGGCTAACCGATCTGACTTAAATTACACATTTATTTGTCTACAAATTCCTTTTTGCATCAAGGTTGTTGCTAATCATGTTCCCATTAAATATTAATATATATATATATTAATTTCTCTGAGATTGTGTGAACTGGTAATATAGTTGTCTCTGTCAGCTAATTTGATTATTTGAATGGCAACAATGTATGCTTGACTTACTCTTGGCTCTTCCGGCTCTATTAGCTATCTCCATGAAATTTAAGTAGCGTTCATACTAAATTATCTAATTTATTTTTGACTTGCATTTCTAGTTCCATTTCTAAAGTGAAATGTCAGTAAAGTGTCAGTAAAATGTCATGATGCCTAAAAACTTTTAAATGACAATTTTTATATTATGCCACTTTATAAAATTGAGTATGTAGAGTAAACTCCACCAATATAAGCTAGAGAATATTTATGCCGTTTTCTTGTTGCGCAGCAGTCGTTCAATAGAATATATTATTCTAATAAACCAGGGCTAGGCATGACAGTTTAGTTTCACATTTTATGCAAATCAAATAACGCAGTTACTATTGCTCTGCTTTCAAGCGTATTCAATCGCAGCTGTTCCCGAGGAGATTGCTTTATAAATGGACAGACAGATCGATCGATGCGAAACGTGTTATGCTAATGTAGAATTGATCTTGGGAGAGGTGAATGTTTAAACTCTTTTACAGGCCAAACAGGTGTTGCAACAATGCTTCTAGAAGGTTGCACTCTCGTCGGATCTCGGGGCGTTGGAATATTTCTGTCTCCCTGCAATTTGTCAGTCCATTTTTATCATATAAACAAGCTGATGTCGTCGAACTTTGTTCAATATAATTCTTCTCTGTCGCTCTTCAATAAAAACGAATTGAAAACAACTGCAAATCAAACGTATATTAAAAAAAAGGCCACAATCAATATGTACATGCTTGCTAGAGTTCTGAGCGCGATGCGAGCGTTTGCTATGTCCTTCACTTAAATGGAAATTGAAAACAACAATGAAGTACGTAATACAACAATTTGCCTAGACAGAACTAAGGCGTAGATGTTATTCATGAAGTTGTTAGTTATGTTGTCATAAAAAGAATTCCTCTTTCAGTATGTTCTTCAATCCATGAATGCAACCCATCGGGCAAGGGATTTCGAAAAAATATATAACGTTTTGAAATTTTATTATATATTTCTTATCAGAATGTCTCTTGGACCAAAAAGAAGCGCTGAACTGCCTTGATTATGAGAGGAACGCCTATCAGCCCATCATCGATGTTACCAGTTCGCCGATAATACCCACAACCAAAGTTCAATTCGCTGCATCATCTGTATCTGCTTCACTCGTTTCTGCCTCCGACTTCCAGCTCGGTGATACTTCATCTCTTATTCTACAGCAGTTGACTCCGCCACAGTCTCCGCCGCAATTCGATGCTTCTATACAGACATCGGATTCTTCACAGGCACAACCCGTGCTTGTTAAGGCCGAGCAGAAAGCGGTAAGTTATAATTTTTGTGTGGCATCTAAAAATATTTTCCTAACAAATATATATAAATTTGACAGCAATGCTATACTCCTGATGCTACAAATGCGGCTGCCGCCACGCCCTTTAACTTTAACAACTGGGTGGGCGGAAGCGAAATAGCCACGCGAAAACCAACTAGTTGATGATATCGTCAATATGCGTGCCAAGGAACTTGAGTTAACCACAAACTGGCAGAATTTTAATGAGGACTGCGAGTCTCAGGCTTCTTCCTCGTTGGACAGCAGAAGCACAGGCAGTGCATTAAGCGGTAGCATAGCTGATGCGGATGAGGACTGGCTTCCAGAGCCCGCCAGCGACTGCTCTTCCCCAGCTCACGCGTCCGTGGAGCAGACTTTGACAAAGCCGAAAAAGCGTACTCGTACATATGGGCGCGGTGTGGAGGATCGAAAGATTCGAAAAAAGGAGCAGAATAAGAACGCGGCCACTCGATACCGCCAGAAGAAGAAGCTCGAAATGGAAAATGTGCTAGGTGAGGAACAGGTGTTGTCCCAGGAAAACGAAGAGCTTCGCCGTACTCTCCAAGAACGCCGTAACGAGATGCGCTATTTGCGTCAGTTAATACGCGAATTCTACCATGAACGCAAGCGCTAGGCCACCAATGTTCAATCTAAAGTTTAATGTCGTTTGCAAAGTTTTTGTTATCAGTTTTATGTAAACCCAAACCTTCCTCATGTTCCCAAAACAACAGCATCATTTCTTGATGTAACCCACACACCAATAATCCCCAGCTTACCCAACGCTTTCAAAAACGTGTACGCAGCCGTTTGTCTTGGCACCATTTTTTTGCCACTTATGACGAACCTTCGAGTTCCGAAATATTCCTTGCCAATGGTGACCAATGACAAGTCTCTATCCCCAGCAGAACAGGTCAAGATGTCACTATAAAGTGGCATTGCATTGTTTGAAAAACTTGAATGAAAACCTTTTTAAGTTGTATTTATGCAAATCTGTCTGTGATACGGCTGCTGTAATATTTTAAAGCATTTTATTTTTTATATTGGTAAGCATATTGACAAATGTAATAGATTTATTTAATGACTTCAACAATATGTAATAATAATATTCAACATGTATCTGCAATAAATCAAAAGGGTTTTCAGAAGAAAAAAATGTTTAACAATGAAAGAATATTTTATTGGGTGCAAAACTGCGGACACTGGAACAGTTGCTACACACAGACAACACTTTTGTTAATTGGAACAACCCTAATTAAAACTTACCGCAATATGGTTTTACCACGAATAATTGCTTTTTTTAGTTTACCTGTTACTATTGATCTGAATCTCGGTAATTTTAAGATATTATATAAAGTTGAGCTCAAGAACGGAGGTTCTCGAAAAGCCTGCACAGCGCAAGTTTGTTTTAGCAGCTGGCTATTGCCACTTATTGCCACAAAATTGTCATTGGAATTTTTATCTTCGAAATGTAGTTTCAAATTCAGTTACTTTTTGGTAATTTCAAAGTATTTGTCTAAGGAGTTGATTGACCAAAAATCGTTATAAGACAATTTAAGTAATTTTGCACTAAATGGGAAAGAAAATTTGTATTTGTCTTAAACATAAAATGCATATTCTCTTTTGTCCTTCTAAACGAGAAAACATTTTCTTCTGCCTTATTGAAAACTTTTCCTAATTAATTTGCAATCAACAAGTTTGTAAAAGCCAACCCACTCAGCGGGCAGCTTACTTCATTGCAGATAGGCACTTGAACATGTTGGATGCCAATGAAAGCATCTACGTATGTTGACGTCGGTGAAAGCTGCCTCAGTAGGAGCCTGGATGACATGGGCATAATCGGATTATGATTATGTCGATGAATATGAGGCGCTTATTATCGCCAAGTCCGCGTCCCACGTTCATACTTGACAAAGTGAATTGAAATTAAATAAGAAAATGGTTTTTAATTGCAAAAATCAAAGACATGGTCACATATAAAGATTTATGTAGTCCAAATGTTTACATCGATGGTTAGGAGCACAAAAGTGCGATATCAAAACAATCCCTCACTGCTGAGATTGAGATTGGGGTTGGGATATGGGAATCGGCATGGGTCGCTCTGGGATTTACTCGCCTGGACATTTTGACTGATGAGCCGGCGACGTGAGCCGTACAACTGACTTGCCTTCACTGGCTGGCGCTTATTCTTTGGGTTTCACTACTAAACTAAATTTTCCACATCGTTAATTTATATTAATATGATTTCTGTGTCAACGGTCGATGCGCTTGCCGTCTAGATCTCGCCTTCGACCGTCGGCGTCTTAGCCGGTGAGGTCTGAGCTCTGAGCTCTGATGTCGCCGATGCTGACTCCCGCCGTGTATGACAAGGCATCCACGACGCCCAAGGAGGTCGCCGGCGCAATATTTATCTAAATTGTTATTTTTCACACTCACGCAGTTCAATGAATTCGTGAAAATTACGTTTGGGACTTTGTGTTTGCTCGTCGCCAAAGCCATCCCCATCCTTCTGCCGCCGTTGAGGTTCGATTCTTCAGCTGAGTCTACGAGCCGAGTGACTCTTTAAGCGCTTGGCTAAGTGTGTTGGCATAAAATTCAATTTTCCTCCTTTGTGTTAATCCTGTTATTAGCAACCGTCCTGCTGCAGAATCCTTTCTATAGGGTCCTCTTGAATGTCAGCACAACGTCGATGAGGCGCCACAGTTGAGATAGAAGCAATATTGAGTATGGTGGGTGAGGAAATCAGTTTTTTTTTGATTAAATATCCCTGCTGCTTTCAAAAATATTTGATATCCATTTTAAAGGTTACTTTTCGGGTATTTGCTTAGCTTATAACCAGTAATGTGGCTTTCAGGAATAAGTAGGGCACAACTCTATGTCAAATATATACGTATTTACATTTTTGGCTTAACAACCGGCTTCAACGTTCATATGTTTATAATTACTAATTCTTATTGAAGAATGACTAAATTATTTCCCTTACATTTTTGAAACCTTATTCCGAAAACTATTTAAATGCAATATCTGCATTCTCCGTATCCTTAAGAGTTGACAATCCCCTAATTTTCTGTATTTTCTCTTCATTTAACATCGAAAAAATGTTCCTAATGTGGATAACATTAAAAATGTGAAAGACTTACGAACATTTGTTTTTGTCTGTGTTTCTCTCAAAACAGTTCCTAGAATCAAGATTTAGTTATTTTTTAAAAAATTAATTTTATGAGTTTTATGGGAGAGAACGAATTCATATACATTGAAGCGTGAGCTAAATTAATAAAATATTTTTGGGACAGTTTTTAGTGGCTTAAATTCCAAATGTTTTCATATGAATTTTTAAGCATATTTGCCCGTCCATTTATATATTGTAAAACAAAACCACTGGCTTCCACCAAACCCTGAGGGAAGTCGAGGAACTAGCGGAGAAAGAAATCAACGTCATCGTTAAATTTAATTAGGCGTCAAATGACCAAACAGCCGAGCTAAATCAAAACCAAATGGCCTGAAAGTGACCCAAGTGCAGGCGAAATCCAACCGCCCGGCTCAAAGGGCGGTCGCAACACTTTAAAACACAATTAAAAGTCAAAACGTCATTGTAAATGGAAGCCAGTGGGCAACCCCTAAGGACAGAAGAGTCGCCAATGAGGCGCCGTATAGAAAGTGCTGATGTGGGGGGAAGAACATGACACTCGCTTTACATAACATTTAACAAAATTATAATGAGGCATAGAATTGATGTCTATCGGCTGGGGGAGTGCGTCTATCCCCTGGCGAATGTTAATGAGATTATAAGAGGAACTTATTTGGTTATATGTTTTAAATATTCCACAGGATGTTACACTAGTCGCACTGCGGCATGTGTAATTGCCATCAGTGCCAGTCGTAACTGAGTCATCCTCACGAGATAACCGCATTTGGTGTCCATTAGAATAAATTCAATTACTGCTATACATATATGTAAGTAAGAGTAGGAAACTATAAGAGCAATGGCAGAGTATATTTACTTTATATAATTACCACGTAATAAGCATACAAAAGTGGTTTATCTCAGCGAGGAACTTTGTTTTCGTTAGATGTTTAAATTACAGAGAAAAAGGAGATATTGTGGATTTAGTTTCATTAAATACATGTTATTCGCTTCTTTCTTCTTCTTTCAGTCAGAAGTTTCATTACTTCCGAATTTTATGAGCCAATCAAATTGTTGGATTTTCGATTTTCCAAATATGGTGTGGTTCCTTATCTAATCGCATTAAGTGCGATTTGTGTTTTTGTACTTCCTTATCGCAACCCGCACACACATTTAGCTTACCCAATTTTCACACATTTGCTATTTTCATTTTCAGCTTTTAGCTTACGACCATAAAAATAAAGATAAATAGTATATGAAACCCAAGCGAAGCGGGTTGTTTTCTATTCAAAAGGCGGGTCATTTTAATTCCATTGTTTCACCTATGAGCAATGAAGAACATTTTACGAACGTGGTATAGGGGAAGAAGGTTGCACTGTCTTGTGGATTTCTGGAACTATTCAGCGCATCATTTCGAATTAACATCAGTTAAATTCATAAACAACCCCTATCGATCCTTATTAACATTTTTATCCTTTTTTCCTACCTGTTTCTAAGCGTTTAATTTAACCTTCTTGAATTCATAAAAATTGTACATATTTAACTAAATTTTATTAATTTGAGTGCATTGCACTAACACACATTGTTCAGCCAATAAGCTTTAAATAACAATGCGAAAGCGATAATACGTAACAGTTTTACCTAATTTTACTTAGCCGCTTCTCTGGCTTCAAGCAACTTGCTACAGACTAAATCAAATGCAATTTCACGGCTATTTGAATGGGACAAGACAAAAACATTTTCCGATAATGAAATAAATGAGCGAAATTTTCAATTTGCCATGCAGATGAGCCACAAAGCATAGTCGGGAGGGAGCGATTCCAACAGCAATAGGCAGTGCGTTTCATGGGCAAACTGCAACGTGACAGTACTTTAAGCCGAATGCACACAGTTCAAATTGTGTGGAGCAATGGGGATATTGAAGTACGCCACGAAGTACGCAGCATGCGCAACAATTAGCGGTATTTCGAATCTACACCCCTCGGCATATCTTTGACATTTACACGTAGCTCCCAGTGCCCCAGAGTACGTGACATTTTGGCAATGGCCGTTGCTAAATTTCAAGAGGTAAAAGAGATGTTCACGAGGTTTTACACTCCAAATGTTTATATCAACTTTTTAATTGATTGTAAAATATTTATTTCATTTTCAAAAAACCATAATTTGTCACTTTAAAATATCTCAGTGAACAGAGGAACAATATAATTTACCAATTCAGAATAGAAGTTTAAGCAGTAGGGAAGCTCAAACGCACCCAAGTACAATTTTCTATGCCAGGTACCCGATATTCACTTTCAAAATGCTTAAAGAATGCTGGTGCTTACACAGCATATGTTCTATATGCTTTGAAAATGTGTTGTTTCCAGGGTACTATGCGCAGCTACCAAGATTCTCGTCAGGCAATTGAAAGAGTTCGGGACGGCACTTGAAGTTCCCCTTCTTTTGCAGGGAAGCTCCACAAATGTACATTTAATTAGCCAAGAGCGAACCATTTCAGCTATCCCCTTTCTCCGGAGCACGATTTGATTTGCCAACTGAGCTTTTGAAAAGGCTTCAAAAAAAGACAAACTGTCCTCGGTCTTCCATGCTACATACTGGTGACGAGTAAACAAACAATGAATAAAACTCGCGGCACTTGAATCCTTAGCAAAATCAAAAACAATTAAAGTTTGTTCAAGGAAAACAACAAACAGAACTCATCAGCATGCCTCACACACTTGCCCCACACATACTCATGTGTGTAAACATCTATTTCCCCCATATTTCTCCCACCGCCCCACTTGTCGCGCACACACTCCCAGCAATGAATAGATAACGTTGCCTACTTTTGCGCGCTGCTCGCCAACGCAAACAACTTTCTGCGTGACGTCGTTCGACGTTTGCTTCTACGCTCCCATTTCCCATTCTTCCCCCACCTTCTTCCTGGTCGCACGCTTCCTCTCCGCCGCCCTACCGATAAATAAATTTGAACATTTGGTGTAAATGTAAATAGATTGTTTCCCCCTACACCACAATACGGTGTGTGTGTGTGG